TCAAAATTCATCGATGTCCAGTTCTGGGTTGCCACACTTGGACGAAGGCTTGCACAGCTGCCATGCCTTCACCTTTGCTACACCAGGGCACAAATTGGCACCCGCAAACCACCTGGCAACTAATGGTAAGTACTGTAGATGCAATCAGTGCATTCTGTGCATTGTTTGCACTTCCGGTCATTTTCCAACATTTGCTTGAGACCTCTACTTGAAACTTTGGTCTAAAACTTGAATATGTCCAAAGTGCTAGGACAATCTAACAGTCTTGGGACAGACCCCAACTTTCTTCGCTGAGTCAAAGGGACTCACGTTTGCTTGAAGGCCTATGTAGTGAGAGAGTGGTAGCTGTGGTAGCTGCTCATTTTGCTGCTTCATGCAGCCTCTGAGGCATGGACAGCCAGGCACCATTTGAAAGCCCCATCAAATCTCCGAGCCAGGCCCCAAATGGCAAAATGATGCAAAATGACCAAATTCATTTACTTATTTTACGTGCCATTTTTTCAAATTTCAAATGTTCTACGTCTGATCAGCTTCTCCTGCCTGTTCCAAGTCTAAAACCATGTAGGTTCTTCCGCTTGGACTCCGAACGCAATGTGTTTTTCATTCGGTTTGTTTAGCCCTCAAGCTCACTCGAGCTTTCAAGATTAAAGTTTATAAAGTTTATAAAGTCAGCATAATGGCATATAATGGCATAGTGAGTTGTCTAAGTCTCTCTTCGGTCAAAGTTCTCAGTGGAGCTGCGGGGACGCACTGAAAACTGTGGTACGTTCCCAGGTAGACCTGGGCACATGGCAGGAGATAGGTGGGGACCCCTGTGGGGAGCTGCTTGGCTCCGGTGCTGGTGCTCTTAAGCCAACAGTTTGGACCAGGAACCATGTAAACCTCGTAAACGAGGTAGATCAAACAAATGTGTGAGAAATGCAACCTGATGCAGCTTCCTGAGGCAAATGCTTGGAGGCCATTGTCGCACCTCAAGATGCTGATATTCCGTACGCAGGAAATAAAAAACACCTGCAACTTCCTCTGGCATAACGCTGGCAATGAAATCAGGTCCCACACATAGGATTGCCTCGAAAAATGCAAAGGCACCATTTCTGCACATCTGCTTCATTCCATCCTTTTTGTTCATTCATTCCCTACATCTGAACGCATTTGAGTTAAGTGTATATACATTGACTGTGTGCAAGCGGGGTACAAATAGGAACAAAAGCCAACACAAGCGATCTTACAAACTCTGCGCTGGAGGCATCTGTTCTGGGACTCCAGCTGCATGGGCATCTGCTGGTTTGACATCGGATAGCTTCCCTGGCAAACATACGTGCTTCAAACCTTGCTTCATCATACTGATACTTTCCTTTGTGACTTCTCAAGGCTGTCGCCTGAACTTCAGAAGACCATTGAATAGAATTGAGCTTTAGGGCTCTAGGGAAGAGAAGTGTCTGGTAACGAAAGAACTTTGATTGAATATCAAAAAGTATGCCTTTAGTCCATTGCTCAACACTCTGTAATATTGCTATATATTTCTCCAACGCTTGTCATTCAGGCCACAGGGATCCACAGGGCTATTTGTTACACAAGACTCTAGTGCGGGAGGAGGTGTTGACCTTCCATCCACTGATAGTTAAAGACTGTGCCAAGCCAACTTCCATACTTTCAGAACTTTCAGATGTTTGAACATGAAGTGGATTTCTTAAACAGCTTTGTTTCAAGAGTCACCTAATGCGGCATCAATTCGTTCCTACCATTGCAAACCTTGTTTCGCATTACGCAGCAGAGTTTCGTTTGAAGTCGTGCAGCCGCGAATCCTGAAACCCATGCCGTTTCATGCCACTTGAGCTCTGCAGGTTTCAGGTTCAGCTTGTGAGAAAAGTGCTGGTCGAAAAAAAACAGTTCCAGCAGTCCCTACAATTCCCTTGTGCGGAAGTGTTTGAGTACAGATTTGCCAACGCAACATTCAGGTCACAGAATGATTTGCTAGATGTCACCCTGCCCAATTGACCAAGTGCCTTGGACGGCCATGGTGAAGCAGATTACACCAGATGCATGAGACTTATGATGATTTATGCAGTTTCATTAATGTGTTTATATGTTTTTATTCCCAATTTATAGAAACTGTGCGTAGAATATGCAGCAATGCATATTCCTGGTTGGGATGCTGCGCCTGGGGACTTGCGTTCTCAGCCATAAACTTCTCCAGCTGAACCTGTTCTGGGCTGGGAAAAACAATACTGGATGCGTGAAAAATGTGCAGATACTGATGCGGAAATGCCCGAAAAAGCAAGGTCGCAACCGTATCCGAAAGATCCCTCTCTCTCTGGTGTCATTCAGCTCAGAAAAGGCTGCAGTGTAAGGTTTGAGGATCCGAGAAAAGTTGATGCAGTGCCTGCCGGACGTACAAGTAGAAACTGCCAGCCTGTCCAAATCTGTCCAAGTTCAAGTGACCCCACGGCCCCACGTGAAGTTTTTTATGCTTTTTCATTGTTCAAAGATGTTCAAGGTTCTAGCCTCAGGCACAGTCATCAAGGCCAAGAACAGGTACATCAAGACGAACCTGAGCTACGCCATCTACGCTGAGCTAAGGGGCAAAGAGAGTCGAAAGTCAGTTGCGTCCTCAAGAGCTTTCGACGATTTCGACCCACATGACCAAATCATAACAAATCTATCATTTCTGCATGTAGAAACCTCAGGGCAGCACTTTATCGCCTTTTCTGTCTCATCTCCCAGGGCAAGAATGAAAATGCCAGCCAGCAAGGCAACAACCTTGCAGATCTTGCAGGCGGCCAACTTGGAATGGGCTTGACCAGAACAATGCACAAATTGTGCAACTGCCGAAGGCAAATTAAACTGGATGCTTGATCTACGTTTGTAAGATTATGCATAATCACCGAGGGCCAGCCAAATTGCCCTGAGAAAACCGGAAGAATGGTCAGATCTGGTGAGAGCACTTAATTCACGCTTCCTACATGACCTAAGTGTGGAGAGTCGTCCTTCATCGTCCTTACATGTTCATCCGGCTGAGTTGCCCGACGCCGAGTCCAAGGCGAGCTAGCACGAGGACCTCACCAATGCAAGAAGGGGTCATCTCTTTGCTTCTGGCTCCTATTGGCTTTGAAAGCAATCAACACTATGAGCTCAAGAGGGCCGAATACTCACACAAAGGAAACACGAAACCTGTTGAAAGGGATTGATCGGCAGAGAAAAAAAAGAACGAACTTGAGTGTGCCAAATGAACTGGGAAAGGCATTTCTTTTGGCTCGCAAGCATGCTGCAGCAGAGCTAGAGCAACCAAAAACAATATTTGCTGAAGGATCAGGATAAGTCATGAAGAAAGAAGCATGAGAGATGTACATAGGACGTGTGACGGAAATTCAACCTTGGAGACCAACCCCAAACCCAAGACTTGCCATTCACAAAACCTTTCCTTTGTGCACAGGTTGTTTTATCACAGTACAATGCACCAGACTTAAGACTGCAGAAAAGAGAAAGACGGAAAACCTTTCAAGCTACACCTGGTTCGGTGCCTCCTTCCATGCCTTGTTCAATTTTGTTCATCTGGGCTCCGTGCCTTGCAAATGTCTGCGTGACAGCCACTGGATGCCGCACCTGTCCAGGTTGGCAGGAGTCAATGAGCCACAACGATGTCCTTGCGAGCTGAGCCTGACCTGCACAGAGCCCATATGCAACGCACATCAGCCCTGCCTCAGCAACTCAGCAACTCGGCAGCTACATCAAGCACTATTCACTATTCAATCATATCTCGCTCAGTGCACAACACTGCCCCTTCTCAAAGGCCAATTGACTGCATGGCACGAATTACAGTAACGAATTAGCAATATGACGCGTATCATCGTGTATGCATATAAATACGCATATATGATATATCTATATATAATATGACCATAATAACAGATATATCATGTGCACACTGTATTCATGTGTATATATCCTCGTGCCCTTGTGTTGCAGGAGCGTTGCGAACACAGGGTACAGAGGCATTCTGCTTCCACTCTAAGAGTCTGGCCATGACTCCGGAAACTCCGCTCTTATCCTGCTCTGAGGCTTTGCAGAATCTGCGTAAACAAGCATCAAAAACTTCCATGAACACATGGATTGAGTGGGAAGTCCTCATAGGAGTCGCCAGTTTCTCTGGAAGTCATCAGGAAGAAAATGCCGAAAGCTGTTGGTGAATACGACAATAATGCAATGACCTACCACAAGGCGATTTCACGGCTGTTCCAGAATTCCTCAAGATTTCACAAGTGAGGTGAGATATGGTTGGCACTTGGGCCAGTGATTATTTTTTTATGTCTCTGCCAGGACACTTTTTCCCATGAAGCCTTTGACATACCATCCTGTCCTGGTCGTGTCTCAGAGCAAAGTCAGGAAAAGCTTTTGTCAGAGCGCCGTATGCGTTGTGAGTTGGAATCCACTTCACAATTCACTGGATACGTTTCATTTCAAGCCAAAAGCGTCCCGTCCTGTCAATCGATCCATGGCTTCTGATGGTGAGTGTCGGCAGCAATAGCAATTGTATAATTCGTTGCTTCAATGTCCATGTCCAGTATTGCGCAGTTTTGAGACTGTGTATTGGAGTCGAGACAGGGCTATGAATTGCGGGAGCAAGGGATGAATGTGACTGGAAGTCTTGGCTACGTAAATCATGGAGGCAGAGAGAGAGAGGGAAAGAAAGAAAGAAAGAATTCTGAGGAAGCGCATTTTCGAGAGACCATGCCTCTATATAGGAATAGCTGCGGACTGGGATAGCCTGTAGACAAAACAAATCATGCACTACATACCCATGAACTCTTGTCACCCTATAGTCCTACTCTTGCCTCCCCTTTCCGTAGAGAGGTTAGGAACTGAAACTTGACGGTCAAATCCTTATATCAGGTCCAATATCGGACACTCACTTTGAAAAATTCCAAACCAAAGGGAGCCTCTCTTTTAAATTTCAATGGCAAGGAGGCCTGAGACACTGCAAAGCAGCGACGAGTACTTTTGCCTCGCACCAGCCACTGCTTGCGTCGCATGGCTTGTGAGACCTCGCGTTCTACTCTGCATGTCTTCTGGGTGCTATTTGGCGATACTCATTTTGACCAAAAACTCCTGAAGACATGCTGAACGACATGCTGAGCAGAGTTTCTGAGTTTTTGCCACAAGGCATTTCTTTTTTTCTTTTTGTCTCAGGCTTGGAGCCTTGGAGCGGAAGTTGCACAGTCAGCTTTGAAGTACAGCCTGCGTGGTGCAGAGCTCGACTCATGCCAGCACAGCCAGCACAGCAAGATCAGGAATATCATCAGTGAAGTCACGAAGTCACGAAGTCACAGTCATCATGTGCAGGTTGATCACTCACTTGGAGCACCACACCAAAACCATTACTAGTCACTAATCAATCACTCGACCGCTTCAACAATGACGGTATCAACTATCAAGTGAAGTATCTTCTATCAAGGCATTCTCCTTTCCCCTGTTCCATTGTCCTGTTCATAATACATCCAGGTCTCTTCTTTGTCCTTGATGTTCTTGTCTAATGTTTTTAAGTTTGCTTATATAATATGTTTCATTTTGTCATCTCTTATCTTGTCTGTTCTGCTGTTTGCTACCAGTATGTTGGCTGTTGCGATATCCTCCTCCGGGTTGTGGCTTCTTCGTTTGCCTATATTAGTCGAAAGAGTCTTCTTGGCGGAATCCTCATGAATGTATGTCAAAAGATTCTGCTTTGCTGTACAGAGTACAGTATATTGGCAAATATCTTGACTTAATGAGCATCGGCCCAAAGAAAGTAGCCCTGCTACGCGCATAGAGTGTTGCTAAATAAAAGGCCTGCTAAGGAAACATCTTTGCTGATGCTTGTCTAAGTCAATTGCTCAGCCAATCACCAGCTTGTCGCTTGTCCATAAGAAAGGCTGAGCTAAATAGCCTGATGGATGGATGGTGAAATACTTCAGCAGTAGGTTCAGCGGGTCAGAGTTGGTGAAAATCACGGACAGCATGCAGTGTTCTCGCACAGGAAAAGCACGGACGAGCGTGACTCGGACATTTGATTTTTCATCAGAGGCTGTCGCTGTAGGCGGCCAGGCTCAGGGTTCCGTAATCCAGTGCCCATCTGACATCTGATGTGGAGAGTCTATGTTACATCTACAATTCCTTTGAAGTACGCGTGTAGTCCACTTCAATGCCTTCTTTATCATCTTTGTCTTCATCGTTGTCCATTTGCCGTGTGTTTGTGGTGCGTCATGGTATCTTACGCAGCAAGTCGTAGTACAAGGGGCTGTAGATTGCGTACTTGTGGTATGTTCTCACGGCTGCATGGGTTTGACAGGGTTTTTGCTTTATACAGTAACTTCCGCGACTGACTCCACCTCTCCCTTTCTCGATTATAATCACTCACTCATTCTCTTGCATTCTCTTGCTTTGGCCTGTAGTGGCTATCTTACTTTGTTGAAGCTTCAGTCTCTGGGTCGACCTGCAACAAACTCTTTACCACAGAGTGCTTGCCTTCTTGCCGTCACTTTGTTTGGCTTGGTGCTCCTCATAGAACACAAGCCGCCGTTAAAACAATGTTCCATTCGGGGAAGTTGCAAAGCCACCATCTCTGCTCTCTTCAGAATCCAAAAGCACTCTGGCTGTCACGTACCGTTTGGAGTAGTTGTACAGCAAATTTGCCTTTCAAATTATCAAAAGTGAGAATGCCAATCCTTCATCATCTCTTTCTGCTTCTTGTTGCAGGCATCCTGCATGAAGCATTGAAAAATCTCCATGTATGGTGCATGGATATGCATTCTAGCCCCCTAGCAACAACCTCAAGCGAGCTTGTAAGTAGATCCTTTTATTTCCATAGATTCAGATCTACAGGATGTCAAGATTTGATTGCTCCGCCCAAACTCTCCCACAGGTTTGCCTGCTTTCATCAATCAAATTATATATGCATCATACCTCCTCTCTACACCAAGGTTCAAACATATACAGTATAAAGAATTGTATAAAGAAACTGCTTGAAATCAAAAACAACAAAACGTCAATGGCCTCTCTCTCTCTCTCTCTGTTCTTAAGGACTGCACCAATCGCATATCAACTTTGCACTTTTGATCTCGAAACTTCATGAAAATGCAACAGGATTGCGCCCACCTGGATCGCATCCCGATGTACTCCCTTCAACTCTAAACTTGCCCGAAGTTCCATCACCTCTGACATGACACCAAAGGTGAAAGGCCAGTTCCTATATTACAAACAAGAAAGGAAGCCTGTAACAAATGCAGAAACAGAATGAAACAGGCAGTTGAACGGCGATCTAGATTTGGCTTTTCTACTGTCGTAGCTTGCGCACATGCAAAGTTGTCAATGCCCTGCACAGACTAAGCCTATACCAAAGCTCAAAAGTTGCGAAGAAGGAGGCACTTGCAATGTGAGAGCAGAGAGCTGAAAGAAACAGAAGCGAGGAGAGAGAAAGGTACAGAAATTCAGCTTTTGTCTATGGAAATGTGTAGAACACCTGTAGAAAATGCATAGGACCATGGCATAGGAAGATGATGAACGCTTCTGGAGTCAAACATTCAGTCCCAAGTCTCGGGATAAATAAACATAGCTAACTAACAGAGGCAAACGCGACTCACAGACTACTTTTGTTCAAAATCAAATTCGTACTTTGGCTGTTGGCGGATGTTAGCGGTCTTGCAGCCCCAGCATGCTAAAGGCTTAAAGCACATCTGGTCAGAAAGCATCGGGGCATCCCATATTGCTCGATAATCGATAAATGATTTAATCAATTTTGATCACTGGTTGATTCAGGTTGATCAACTGCTTTGCCTCCAGCTCGATGTCACGAAGCAGATTGTTGTGAGCCTCAGAGCTCTTTGCCTGGCACCAAAGAATACATGAACTGGAGAACCTGTATGACGGTATGGATCCATCACAAACTTAATCCACCTCAATCTTGCTTTTCATCGGGGTATCCCATTAAAATTTGCCACTGGCACGTCCAACGCTTTTTCTGCAGCGCGCTGCTTCGAGGCAATGTTGGGCAACTTAAAAAGTTGTGATTTCGCAACTATGTGCTGAATCTCAAGCACCTGAAATCCAAATTATAGGCCGAACAAGCCTTACAACTACCGAATGCCTCGAAGGGCAAACTCGATCAGCTTGAGAATCAGCACAGCTAGGTTTCTGGACAATGTAAGCCCCAAAAGCTTCGTGTTCGCTGCAATCTTGGAGCGCCAAGAACCGTCACACAGCCTATTAGGGAACTTCTCGACTGAGTTGTCAGTCAGCTCTTCTTAGCCCAAGGCTGCTTCGGCCTCTCAACACATACTCATGCCACAAAGGAAAACCAGAAATACGCTGAAATATGCTAGTTGCATATGATGCTGAATCAGGGAAAAAAGGTGCGAAGGAAGCAAATCAAGACGTGGGAAAAGGTCAAGCAGCTGCTCCCAAAATCGAGTCTAAGGCTGTGGCTCCGCTGAAAGCTATCTGCCTCACTACCTTCAAACGAAAGGAACTTGCCTTTCGATCTGTGGACTGTGGTCTTGAAATAGTCTGCAACCATCTGTAACCAAAATCTTGCAAGAATTTAACATATTCACATGGACTGATTCGAAGTGTCCGTCCTGGTACCAAGCAGTGATGGTAACCACGGTCATAAATGCAGTGCATGCGCCGAGGCCGTAGACCTTCCCAACGTTTGGTGCAAAACAATGAAACAAAATTGCAAAGAATTGCAGAAGGAAATTGAAAAGAAATGCATAGAGTTGCATAGTGCTGCATTTCATATCAATTGCACTTCACATGTCAGCATTTCATTTGACATTCAATTTTTGTGAATTTCATTTTGCGAAGGGCCACATCAATAGCTGCCCTTTGGATCAATCCCCAATCGAGCAGAAGGTAGAAAAACCTGAGGAGCTGCTGCGCTGCACGGGTCATAGCTTGGACGATATCATCGCCAGGTTATGAGCCCAAGACCCTGAGGCTCCAGCGCTATGGACATCCGAAGAAGGGCTACCCAAAGGGAAATGGAACAAGGGATGCAGGAGATGCAGTTAGCCCAAAAACGAATGGAAGAAGAAAGTAAACAAAGGGGTGAAGAGGCCATAGAAGATGGAAGGATAGAAGAAAGGGATGAAGCAGCTAGTAGTTTAGAGGATGAGGCGAAGAAAGGTGAAGGTGTTTTGGTTTTGAGTAGTGCCACTCCTGACCAACCACAGGGTCAGCCTGTCTCCCTCCGTCCAGCAGTTCCAGCAACTCCGCCGCCTTCACAGCCACCTCAGAGCTTTTCGAAGAGTGCATCGGCATCAGAAAGGCCGACTCCAGCTTTGACGGCAAGGCAAAGTGAAGAGAAGAGGGCAGGAGAGGGTGGAAACCAGGGTTTAGAAGGGAAAGAAAGGGTTCAAGATCCTAGTGTGAGAGGCTCCGCCAATTCCTCTCCCAATGGCTTAGCTGCAACCCCTCAAGATGTGAAGAAATCAGAATTTGAAATGGCCTATACTCCTCTTTTTACTCCTGAACAAGTCCAGCAAATGACCCAGCTTCAGCAGCGAACTCCATGGCTGTATGGCATAACAGGGACGGGATTCACGCCGTCGATCCCGAGACCAGGGTTCTTGGAATCTGAAGAAAGAAGGTTCAACGAAGAGCTTTTGGAAAGGGATAGGCAGTTGGCGATGTTGCAGAATAGAATGGTTGTAGAACAAAGTGAAAGAGAAGAGATCAAACGACTTTTGGTCTCTGTCCTGAATGAGAATCAGAAGTTGAAAGAAAGGATTCTAGCTGTAGAATCACAACCTGCAGAACCTGAGGCGCGTTTTGCAACTCCAGATAGCATCTCCAAGGACGGAAGTGGTCAAGCTGAGCGAAGTTTTGGCATAGAAACCACTCGTTTGCAAGGGATGAACCTGGAGAAGGTTTTCGGTAAGGAGGCTGCAAGACCCCCAAAAGAGGACGGGTCAGTTGGCCATCAAGTTTTCTCTGAGGCTGCAAGACCCCCAAAAGAGGACGGGTCAGTTGGCCAGCAAGTTTTCCCTGAGGCTGCAAGACCCCCAAAAGAGGACGGGTCAGTTGGCCAGCAAGGTTTTCAGGAGGCTGTGAGACCCCCAACGATCAAAAGTTCAAATGGTGATTGTGGCGAAGCTTGGAAGAAAGGTGAAAGATTTGTGGATGGGCCCAGAGGCCAACAAGAAAGAAGTCGAGAAGAAGACTTCAACTCAAAGACTATGGAATTCATGTTCCTGATGATGCAGTCGATGAGAGACCTGCAGCAGAAGATCAGCGATGGAAAGAATGATGAAGGAGCGGTGATGGGAGTGGAGGTGGTTCGCTCGGGTGCTCCAGATTTGCCCGATCTGATGCCTTGGACGTCTGGGACTGGGCCACTTGAACTTGGTGATTGGATGTTGCTCTTGAATCCCATCATCTCTGACCTCACCACCTCTTCTCAAGAGTGGTGGGAAATCATGACACAGGAGGTGGAAGCTTGGTATCAGCGGCATGTTTCATTGAGCCCCCTTGATCGACTGAATCATGGCTTTGCTGCCCCTGCTTCTCTACAACAACCTCGTTGGCAGCGATTGGAAAGGCGGGTTTCAACTATGATCATGAAGGCCATCCCAGAATCTTGTTGCGAAGAACTGGTGGCAGCGAGAAGAATGGATGTTTTTGGTGTGCTCACATACTTGTTCACAACTTACTCACCAGGTGGTGTAGCAGAGAAACAGACCCTGCTCAAAAGCTTGGAGGACCCGGCAGAAATCACTTCAGTTCAAGAAGCACCTGGAGCGATCCGCAAATGGATGAGATGGCGCCGTCGTGCCAAAGAAGTCGGCGCTGTGGAGCCGGACCCAGCTTTGTTGCTCAAGGGCCTCAACAAGATGACTCGTCGGGTGCTCGAATCGCATCGCGACATCCAGTTCCGTGTCTCTCTTGTCCGGAACACCCTGTCGGTGGACACAACTCCAACTTCATCTTCGGTGGACCAACTTGCAGCACATCTTCTTGCTGAACTTGAACAATGTGCGATGACTGACAAGAGATCAATAACCACAACGGCGAAGAAGGAGGTAGAACTTCCGAAGCTGAAGAACATGGAGGCAGAGGCAGCAGAGGAGGGCAAGGGAAAGGGAAGAGACAGAGAAAAGAATGATGAAGAGAAGTCCAAACAGAAATGCAGGTATTACCTGACTGAAGGTGGATGCAGAAAAGGCCGCGAGTGTACGTGGTCGCATGAACAGCGAGACGAATTGAGGAGATGCTACGTGTGCGGCAGCTCACAACACTTAGCACCAAGCTGCACACGACCGAAGTCGTCTTCAACCTCCCCAGAAAAGTCTGCCCCAAAAGCGAAGCAGCTGAAGACTGAGGAAGAGAAGGTTGGAGGCAAGAAAGAATCTGAAGAAGCAGCGGCATCGACACAAGATTCCGCTATGAAAGACTTGATAGATGAGGCGAGTAAGGTGCTGAAAAGCATCTCAGGAGCTCCATCTTCATCGGCGTCTTCTGCCAGCTCTGGATCTGCCAAGGACTCAGAAGGAAAAGAAGATTTGATGGAAAGACTTCAACAGCAGTTGAACTCCCTGAGGCAGAAACAAAAAGTTCTCAGGCTTCAAAAGATGGCGACAGGAGATCAAGCTGGTCTCATTGACTCTGGTGCGACACATCCTCTTCGACCACAGAAAAACGGAGAGGTGACAGAGTCTCTTTGGCAGATAGAAGAAGGATTCAATTGAAGATGTCACCTGGAGGAGCGATGATCTCTCCTGACCCAATGGTGGAACCGATAGTTCCGATGGGCCCCCTTGCAGAAGTTCTTGGGTGCGAGATTGCATGGAAGGATGGAAAGCTCTCCATACGACATCCACTACGAGGTGATTTGAAAGTTTCGCAGCACAATGGCTGCCCTCAAGTCAGTCGTCAACTGGCTTTGGACCTGATCTCAGAATTGGAAGATGCAAATCAAGGTTTGAAGAGAGGTCTTGAGATGAGCGATGAATTTGAATGGCTGCAAGCCATGGTCAAAGCCCATCCTGTTCTCTCGCAACTACCTGATCACATCAAAGAGCGACTTGCAGTGCAACCAGGTGATTGGAATGGTCTTCCTTGCAATCGGAGATGGAGGAGGGCTATGCAAAGAGATGGACTGCTTTTACATCTCTACGCTGGAGAAGATTCAGGCTTCACGTTTGGAAAGGCCTGGAAACAGTGTGGGGGAGAAGAAAGAATTTTGTTGGAAGTAGATGTTAAAAGAGGGAGCCAACATGACATGATTCCTGACGACGGCATCTACGCGTCTTTGATCACTGCAGCCATCCAGGGCAAGATCTTGGGAATTGCGGGCGGGCCAAACTGCCGCTCTCGCAGTGTCTTGAGGCACTATGAGATTCCTGGATGTGATACTGCACCTCGGCCTGTCAGAGCATGGAAAGGAGAGGAGTATGGGAAGAAAGATTTGAGTGAAAAAGAGAAGAAAATGGTGGAAGAGGATGACATCCTTTTGTGGCGTCAAATTTTTCTTTTCATGATTGCAACATATGCTCGACGAGCTCGAGGGCATGATCATCCACTGGCTTTTGTGCTTGAGCAGCCATCTTCACCACGAGAGTACAAGCCTGAAGTTGTCTCATTTTGGGATCAATGGGAATGGCATGAAATTAAAAAGGAGTTTGAGTTGAAGGAGACGCACTTCACACAAAAGAGCTTGGGTGGGGAAGCCACGAAACCCACCACTTTGGGAACTTCACTTGATTTGGTTCCAGAAGATTTTCAAATCAAAGGTCCTGTTTGTCCTGGGGGAGTTCGATCGTCAAAAGATCTTGCTCGGTGGCCACCTGGTCTGATGCGGATGTTAGCTGTGGCCATCAAAGAACAGACCATGCAATCACATGCAAGGATTGCTCCTATGTCTTGGGAGGATCACATCAGATTTGGCCACGTTCCCTATCGCAAAGACTGCAAGACATGTCAGGAAACCCTTCAACAACAAGAACCTCATCGCCGAGCCCGGCATCTTCAAACTGGCACTTTGTCTCTGGATGTGGCTGGTCCTTTCACACCAGCATATGACCTTGGAGGACACATGGCACGTTGGTTTTTGACTGGCGTTTTGGTGTGGCGTGTTCCAAAAGACTCTGACAAAATGCGCCAGCCACCAGATGAAGAACTCCAAGGAGAAGAACCAGCTATAGAAGAAGCTAGAGAAGCAGGAGCGGAAGAAAAAGAGGAGGCAGAAGTGCAGGTCGAAGAAGGTCAGGGGGAGCAGAGAGATGAGGAAAGAAGGGAAGATTTAGAAGAAAAAACGGAAGTTCGAATTTTTCGTCTGGCACTTCCCATGACACTACCATGGACATGCTCATGAAGTTGAAGGTCGATGGATTTACAGTTGCCAAGATCCACACCGACAGAGGCCACGAGTTTTCTGGATCGTTTAGAAGATGGGCATCATCAAGAGGCATCATTTTGAGTCGCACTGCTGGCGATGACCCCAGAGCCAACGGCCGTGCAGAAGTGGCCGTCAAAGCCATCAAGACTCAGATCAAGCGAGTTTTGCACCATGCCAAGGTCCAAGCTGATTGGTGGCCTTGGGCTTTGCGATACATCAACGAAATCAACCGATGTGTTCGCCTCGACCAAGTTCCTTCTTTTCCACCCTTTTTGGAGGAGGTAAGAGTGAGGAAGAGGACATGGAGGAGGGGAAGTTTTGATCCGATGGTGGAACATGTCCGCTATCTGTGCCCATCAGTTGAAGAACATGGTCATTGAGTGTGGCAAGAAGGCGAGGCTCCAAGAATCGCCAAAGTTTTGATGAAACAGACTTCAGAGCCTGTACAACATGGTGTTTGGGTTGGCCTTGAAACCCAAATTTTGGATGATCTTTCAACACGAAGAAGGCTGAGGGAGAAAACAACAGTGAGAAGATTGGATGCGTCGATGGAAGCACAAGAAGAGGAGGAGACAGAGAAGTGGAAGGTCAAAGCTAGAATCAGAAGAATCATAGAAGAAGAGATGAGAGCGATGGTTGAAGATGATGAGGAAACAGCCATGGATGAGATGGCTGTGATTGGTAGACTGCGCAAAGCTGTGGAAAGTATGGAAGACTCCGAGGAGATCCTGCAGACCAAGATCATCTCACCGAAAGAAGTTTGGGAGCATTGGGAAGAATGGGAAGCCGCTGCAAAAAGCGAAATCAACTCTATGCTGGAAGAAAAAGAAGCATTGGAAGAAGTTTCAGAAGAGGAGGTAAAAGAAATAGAGAAGAGGTTGAAGGAGAAGGGCATCAAGTTTGAGTGCATCCCATCAAAGGTGGTGTACTCCAAAAAGCCCATTCCGGGTGGATCCAAACACAAGGTGAGATGGGTCATCTGTGGAAACTACGAGGAAAAAAGAGATGATGAACAGACCTACAGTGCAGGTGCTGATGCCACAGCTTTCAGACTCATGCTGTGGTTTGCTGCGAGGAACCAATGGCTGGGCATGTCATTGGACATCCGTACGGCTTTTTTGAACGCCGTCATTGACCAGGAGGATCAATCCAACTATATCCTGGTCGCTCCTCCTACCATCTTTGTCAAGAAGGGCTGCTTGCGACCTGGAACACTTTACAGGCCAAAAAGAGCGGTCTATGGGTTGAGAAGATCTCCAAGATTGTGGGGACTTTGCAGAGATAGCGAGATGAGAAGTTTTGAAGTAGAAGTAGAAAAGAAAGAAGGAGGAAAGATCAAGCTGCAGTTGAGGCAGCTGGATTCTGAGCCAAACCTTTGGCGTCTGGAAGAAGTTGGAAAAGAAGAAGGAAGCGAGCCAAGCATTCAGTATGGCTTGGTCATGACCTATGTAGACGACATTTTCATCACTGGCCCCCCTGAAGTCACCAGAGCGGTGGCACAGAAGTTCCAAGCGACTTGGACCACGTCAGAACCAGAAGTCGTGGGGGAGGAAGCCATTCGCTTCCTTGGCATGGAAGTGTCAACCTCAAAGAATGCCGAAGGTCGAGATGTTTGGCATGTCACCCAAGAATCCTTTGTCAAGGACCTGGTGAAACGGCAGGCCAAAGAAGTTCAGCCAAAGAAGATCCCAATCACTCGGGACCAAGCTCTGATGACTTTGGACCCAAGTCCACCAACTTTGGAGAAAGTCAGAAAATGTCAGAAAGTGGTAGGTGAACTGCTTTGGGTTCTGACGCGAACTCGTCCGGACCTCATGTACAGCATCTCAAGGCTGGGCTCCAACGTCACAAAAGCCACCAGCTCAGTTCTTGAGGCAGCTGATCAAGTTCAAAGATACCTTCTGAAAACTTGTGCAGAAGGGCTCCGCTACCAAGATGATGAGAAAGAACCAATCAAGATACAAGTTTTCTCAGATGTCAGCTATGCCCCCAACGATGAAGAATCTTTTGGATGTTTCATCATCACCTTGAATCGAGCTCCGATTTTTTGGAGAGCCGGCCGCCAACATTTGGTGACATTGTCAACTGCAGAGGCCGAATTGGCCGAACTGGTGGAGGCCATGACCGCCGGTGAGTCTGTGGCAGCCATTGTGGATGAGCTGATTGGATATGTGCCACGTGGAGCCTTCACTGACTCCCAGTCTGCATTGGCGATCATCACAACGGATGGAGGCAACTGGCGCACGAGACACCTTAGAACTCGGGCGTCTTACGCTCGACAGACTGTGCTGTCTGGGCGATGGGTGATACACCATTCCCCGGGCGAATTTTTGACCGCCGACATCGGCACCAAACCTTTGTCTTCGAAACGTTTGGAGACGCTTCGAGAGATGATGATGATGGGAAGTCCACCAAAGAAAGAGGAGATCAAACAGGAGGAGAAAGATGAAGAACAGAAAGAAAAAGGTGAGACGCTGGCCAAAGCCATCAAGGTCAGCGACGACATGATTCGTTTGGTTACCACAATTGCCATTTTGGCAGTGGCTAGAGGAGATTCAGAAGATGAAGAAGAAGAAGGAGGGTATCAAGCCCTTCAATCCATGTTGGCAGTTTTTGCCATCTTCATGGTGCTGCTGACGCTCTTCGCCCAATGGCTTTGGAAGGTTGGAGTACAGATTGCAAGGCGTCAGAATCTTTCGCCTAAAGCGACTGGAAGTCGCCCTGAAGTCAGAGGAGAAAAAATGGGAAGAAGGGGTGGTGAGGACGGGTTGAGCTCAAGCTCAGTCCAGCTCCCATCCGTGGCCGTTGAGAAGGGGTTGGGCTTCGGCTCAGTCCGCCTCCGGTCACTGGCTGTTGAGAAGGGGTTGGGCTCAGGCCCAGTCCGCCTCCAGCCGCGGGAGAGAGGTGGTGAGTCAGACGATGTACCACCTCGACGACCCCGCCAAGGGCCCACCGAGATGGTGGAGCGCCCACAATTCCTCCCCAGTGAAGAAGGAATAGAAAATGAAAGAGAAGAAAATGAAAGAGAAGAAAAGCACTAGCAGCTCAGAAGAGTCCAGTGACAGCTTAGGAGAAAGAATCGAAAATGAGCTGCAGAACATCGAGGCCGAAGTCGCAGAGATTAGAGAAAGGTTGCGCATCACTCCACCGGAGGATGAACCAGATGCAGAAGGACCTGGCTTTGGGGTATTGACCACAAGATATGGGAAGGCATATCATCTTTCCCATCAGTGCCCCTACTTGACCAATCCCAGAGTTGGACCAGCGAGGCCATCAAGATGGTGCACCACTTGCAGGTTGGTGACTGCGCCTCGTGGGCGACCTCCTCCTGGTTTCCCTGTGCTGAATTCTGGATATGCTGGAAGATTTCATACGGATTTCCAGTGCCCTCACCGTGGAGAAGCCATCCAAATCAATCTGTGCGTTCGATGCGCTGAAAGAATCGAAGAATGGGCAGTTTGAGCGTTTTGAGTTTTCCGGAAAAAGCATCACTCCACCGGAGGATGCACCAGATGAAGAATGTCAGCTTCAAACTGACGTTAAAGCTGAGGGGGAGTGCTGCATTTCATATCAATTGCACTTCACATGTCAGCATTTCATTTGACATTCAATTTTTGTGAATTTCATTTTGCGAAGGGCCACATCAATAGCTGCCCTTTGGATCAATCCCCAATCGAGCAGAAGGTAGAAAAACCTGAGGAGCTGCTGCGCTGCACGGGTCATAGCTTGGACGATATCATCGCCACATAGAATCGCTAAAGGCCTAGTGCGAAGGATATGCTTGATTGAACGGCTCATCTGATTCAAGCGTTCTTCAGATTACAGTATTCATCCAAGGCCAACCAGTTGGTGTGAGAGTCGGAAAACTCTAATTCGCGACCAGTCCCCTGGGCAAAAAGCAAGGAGAGACCAAAGCGGCTTTGACAAAGTGAAGTCGGATAAAAGAAAACGTGAAGTCTGATACAAGAAAAATGCGAGAACAGTCATCAGAATCTTCGTTCAGGCTTTGAGTTGCCAACCCAGCGTGGCATTGGTTTTGTAGATTTGGATGGCTCCTTCGGACATGGTGGGCGAACAAGCAGTTTGGTTGATTTGCCAACTCGTAAGCCACCTGGCTCAATTGCCCACCAGTTTCTCGATATGACTAGCCTGGAGGCCTAGAGTAGCTCAAGCTAAGTGCAGCTAACTGTCTTATAAGCGGCTTGCTTGCTTTGCTGACCATCCAGCCAACAAAAAATTTGATGTTGATGAGCTGACCGAGGCTGAGTGGCTCACTTGGCTAGCAAATTCATTGGCTACAAGTTTTTGATTCTCTTGCACACTAGCTCATGAGCTGACTAGTTTGGATCGCTAGCTCACTGTTGAGTAGCTAGTTATCTCACTCTCCGCCGACATCGCTTTGGCATGACATAGAGTATCTCTATAGATGACCTTGGATTCAGGATACAGAAAGGCATGGGAAATCAAAGACATTCTGCAAAGCGAAGCAGAACTTGCTCCGTGTTCCTGAGCAACACCATCAATGGGGAAGTGCTCTTGGAATGCTATCTGTCCAAGAACCTGCCACCAGTTCAGCTTGTGCTTTTTGGCGAAGCTCACTAACATAGCCCGAACTCTTAACTGTCTCAACTCTGGACAAGGCAAGTGAGGCAAGTGAGGCAAGTGAGGCAATCAATAGAACGGAATGTAATAGAGTATAAACTGCCGGTTTTGCCCGCCTCGCTAGCACCAATAGAGATTGATGTCTGACACACCAAAAATCGCAGCATGCAGCCGGCCTCCAGAGACAGGTATGACAAATCGAATGAACGTACCAGTCTCGTTAACTCATGATGCCTGCTCCGTCTCTCTGCTGTTTCCAAACTGCGGTGAAATAATCGCAGACTTCATGATTTTCTGTCTATTTTCTGTCTATATGCTGGACCTTCTGATACTTGTGACTCCACTACCAGTCACCATGCTTTGGAGCTTGACCTTTCTCAGCTGCCTGTCAAGACCTTGAACGTCCAGAGTTTGCTTATGCAGAAAGCACCTCCCGGATAGAGCGAATGCTCAGCTCTGTCGCTGGAACAGGTCGCTTCAGGTAAGACTGCCTGGGTTCAAGTCTGAAACTTGCCAAGTTCTCCGTCTTCGAGAGATATAGGTTTGCCGGTCTTAAGACCAATGTCAAACCAACATGAGAATGCCTCTGCTAGTTTGTGCTCACGGCCGCATTAGCGACTCCATAGGAAAGTGTCATTTTTTTGCCAACATGGGGGTTGGGGTGGGGTGGGGTGGGGTGGGGTGGGATGTTAACGTTCATGTTCCGCTGATGATGTTACCCTGATCATGGGGGTTGGGGTGGGGTGGGATGTTAACGTTCATGTTACGCTGATGATGTTACGCTGATCAACGTACGTTTTGGCTTTCATGTTCCGATGGAGCGCAAGGCCGCACTTGCTGAAAGCAGTTGGCTCTCTTGCGAAGAAGGCATCTTGCTAGAGTAGAGGACAAAAAAGACGCTTATTTTTGGGAAAGCTGTATGTTCGAGTCGCAGAGCCAATGGGATTTGCGAAAATGAGGTTCAAACCCATGGTAAAAATGGGACGTTCTGAACACAGGTTCCATCACGACCTTTCAAATACATTGCAAAACGCAGCACTGAAGCCTTGAGACTCATTTCGAAGTGAGCAAATTACCCAGGGTCGTTAACACGGCCGCAACCTAGTTTGTTCTTGTGCAAAGAGAAACCGGAATCGGAACATGAACACAGTTCGGCCCAAACTCCTTTGATGGGTTTGCTTTTTGGATGTTCTCTTTGCATTGTGTATAGGCATTTTTTGACATTGGGGCACATATCCCAGTTTCCACCATCAGCTGGAGGTAGCCAGAAAAGCAGAACTTGTGCTTCCCCGTGTAAATAAAAACAAACACTATATAACAATACGAAACTGGTTCTATCCGAAAAAATGTCCTCACTTTTGCACAATGCAAGAAAGGCAAAGGCGACTCACTTTGAGCATGAAGTATCAGTCCAAAATTGACTTCGGCAGAGGAATCAACCAGCTAAGTCCCACTCCATTCTTGGTCACCACCATCGCCGCTGTCCTGACCAATGAAACGGGTCAGAATAGAAAGCAAAGGGTGTGAGAAGGTCACACAGCGTTCGCGGCTATGTAAAGATTAAGTACAGATTCAGGGGATTTGGAATGTTCCTTTGCTCATTTTCTGATTTGTTTCTACTCCAATGTTTCTTCAAGCTCAGAACCTTTGCTTGAGTTCTTTAGTGGGACCTTTGCAGCAATCTTTCGGGTGTGATCTCACGGACTTGCAACACTGCCTCAAACCTCAATCTGTTTTGCCAGGAACCTTTTGGAACCTCCGAAAAGCCATGTTTTCTGTGGCCATTCTATCTAAGGCCGCCTATCAGAGTGTTCCCAGACCCTACAGTCGCAAAGACATCAAGGTTTTTTTTGCAGTGCATGAGAGGAACAAGAATCAAGATATGTGTGTATATATATATACATATGATATATATATATATATTATATATATATACATTACATATTATATAATATATAGGACTATATTGAATCTTCAGATATCTATCTGACAACGTCTGATTGTACCTTGTTCGTTCGAAAGCTTTGGCCAAAGCTCAGGCCTGACCCTTGCGACGGCGAGCTGCCAATTTTTGACGGAATTGCGTCAGCCGCTGCTCCTGTGGCAGGTGGATCATGATACAAAAACTAAAAACGTGCCAATTTCATCCAAACTGCGCAGCCGCCTGCAACTGTGTCTCAATCATGGACTCAAAAGCCTTCTTGAACACCTTGAGCAGTTTGAGGGGTAGACGAGAAGAAAAGGATCGAAAAGTTCCAAGCTGATAGGCAGTGGGATGGGCTGGAACGGGCCAGACAGTATCAGGAACCCGCAGTTGAATTAAACCTCCTTTGCATATATTCATGCATTCTTTTCCAGATAAGTCAAAATGTTCACACTATTTCACACTTCAAGAGAGTGATTTTAGCATTGTCCCCTTTGCTATGGCCAGCGAGTTCCTACAAAGCAATGCAGAACTAAAACACGCATAGTATCACAGCATGGTCCAATATGGTCAGTACTACAATTCATTACAATTCATGATGAATACCACCTCTCTAACCTCTCTTAATGTTCATCAAGGTTTCATCAGCTCTTTTTGCCCACATGCAACAACTCGACAAATCCGAAACTGCCACTTCCCTTTGGGAAGCCTGTGACAAGGCCTGAGAACATGGAACCCCTCTGTTTCAAGAGCAGGAGAGGCAGGACGCCAAGGCTGTTCCAGGGTTTGAAATCAGAAACAACACGAGCATTAATTCAAAAGGTCTCTTCAAACATTCAACCACGACAAGACTTGTTTCCCTAAACACCTAAACGTCAAGCGGTCCATGTAAAAGGCGCAGTCAAGAGTCTGTGGCAACGCACCCATTTTTGGGCTGAGCAGTGAGATTCGACGCTTGGCTGTGGTTTGCATGGTTTGCTACATTCCATCAAATCACACACAATGTGGTCGTATTGGCTGTTGAATTGCCTTGTGTCTGGTGTGTTTGTGTGTATGTGTGCGTGTCCGCGCATGTGTTCATGTGTTGCAAGCGGTTTCGAACAGCTCAAATCTGATTCCACATGGGATTTTGCAGGAAAGGATACGCACACGTGAGGCCTTCCGCAAACAAGAGATCACTCTCTCTGTTGTGTTCCAAAAGAATTGAACAGTAAACCACCCGCATTTTGTTTGCTTGCCTCATGGTGTTGGCTCCGTCTATACATTACTTCTTGGCCAGTCGCACATTAGCGCCTTGCTACCCGTTGGCACAAATTCGGGATGGAACATCTGATATCATAATTCCAGCGAGCTTACCTCAGATTCATCGTCTCACATGTTTCACTGCTTTGTGACTCTGCAATGCTTCCTGATGTTTCATCTTGTGTGTATGGATGCACAGTACTTCTCATGCAAGCGATGTTTGGATGTTGGTTTTTGTGCCTGCATCTTTTATGTGCAGTGATTCAAGACAATCAAAGTACAAATTGCATTTTGTTGCCATTTGTTGCCTTGGTTTTTGCCACCCTTGACAAACTGAGACGGAAAGCATCGTAGTGCAGCAAACGCCTTTGTCCTGGCCAGGGTCTGTGCACATTCCAGCACAGACTCATGTGTCCACGAGATTCTGCACATGCATATCATCTGCATATCATTAATCCTTCAAATCCTTCAAATCCTTCGAATCCTTCGAATCCTTCGAATCCTTCGAATCCTTCGGGCACTTGCAACTCAGGAAGCTGCCTTGTTGTTGTTCATGGTGTAGCGGGCTTGCGGCTTGAATGTGATAGTTTCCTGCCATTTTTTTTGGTTGAACTCCGTGGTATGGCACACATGGGAAGCAGCGTCACCATGGTGGTTCAGTCCTTGCAAATCAGTTGGAGAGCACTCATCACATCATCCTGGAAAGCCAAGTCGTATGGAGCACACATCAGTCAATGCAAACATAAAGAACCTCAGAAACTGTGTTTTTCGGTTACAGGCGTTGCTAACGAACCCACATTTTTTTGTGTTGGTTTCGCGCGTTTGAACAACGTATCTTTGTATACAGTTGTGTGTGTGTGTATGCATGTATGTATGTATGTGTGTGTATGTATGTGTGTATATGTGTGTATGTGTGTATGTATGTGTGTGTGTATGTATGTATGTATGTATGTATGTATGTATGTATGTACGCATGCATGCATGCATGTATGTATGTATGTATGTATGATGTATGGATGCATGCATGCATGCACATGCATGTATGTATGTAGGTATGTAGGTAGGTAGGTATCTAGGTATGTAGGTATGTAGGTATAAAGGTATGTAGGTATGTATGTAGGTATGTATGTAGGTATGTATATAGGTATGTATGTAGGTAGGTAGGTAGGTATGTAGGTATGCAGGTATGTAGGTATGTGGGTATGTGGGTATGTAGGTAGGTATGTAGGTATGTATCTATCTATCTATCCATCTATCTATCTATCCATCTATCTATCTATCCATCTATCTATCTATCCATCTATCTATCTATCTATGTATCTATCTATGTGTATCTATATGTGTATCTATATGTGTATCTATATGTGTATCTATATGTGTATCTATATGTGTATCTATATGTGTATCTATATGCGTATCTATATGCGTATCTATATGTGTATCTATATGTGTATCTATATGTGTATCTATGTGTGTATCTATATGTGTATGTATATATGTATGTATGTCTGTATGTATGTATGTATGTAGGTAGGCAGGTATGTATGTATGTATGTATGTATGTATGTATGTATGTATACATGTATACATGTATACATGTATACATGTATACATGTATACATGTATACATGTATACATGTATGCGCGTGTCTGTATGTATATATATATATACATATATATGTAAATGTGTATATGTGTATATATGTTACTGGGACAAAATGAATGAGCATTGGTGAATCTCACATCAGCATCATTGGCAACCTTAACCTTGCCAATCCCCAGTTTATCAAACCCCAGTTTGAAGACCATTCCCGAGAAAAGACGGCATGTGCAAAAAACATGGAGCCGCTGGCGCCTGGCGCCGGTATATTTAGTATATATTTATATAGTATATTTGGTGGTATGAACAAAACTACCCTAACAAAGTGGACTTCTAGGGATGCCAGGACTTGTCCAGATCCTGGCACGCCAGAATGACTGTCGCCAATTGCAGTAGTTTGATTAGTTTCATAGTCTCGGGAAGCGTCAGACCAAAGCATTGTTCCTTGCGTCTCTTTGCCTCTGCACAAGATAGCACCATCTTCGTAGACACCGACAGAGGTTCGTCCATATCCCTTTGCTTTTCCTTAAATCATGGCTCAAGATGCTCAAGAACACAATAATGGGGATAGGGAAGCCGGCACAAGTTTCAAAGCAAACACAAAGAATCAATGTCGAATTTCTGGTTGGACACATGTCTCCGGTTTCTTCAAACAATCCAGAGAACAGCCTATTCAGGTCATTTCAAGTCCAACGTTTGGTGAACAGTTCCAATTCCGATTTCGTCTTTCGTTCTGGGGAGTTCTCTGCTTTTGGAAGACCAAGGAGCCATCAAGTCCTCCGCAAACTTCCTCAGCAAACATTTTTGACTGTGCTCCGCACTCGGATTCGAAGACTCAGAGACTCAAAATGAGCAATTTGTAAAGAAATTTGCAAGCAAAATGCATCTGCTCCGCATCTGCACCAACCATCAGAAGTGACATCGCTGGACGTGCCCCCTTCGGCAAGAAACCTAGGCAAGACCAGGACAAATGAAGAGTTTGAACACAATGACTCCTGTTCTACACAAACACCTTTCAGGACCGAGGCCGCAACGAACATCTGCCAACCTGCGCTTGTTTAGAGTCAGTGATGCTTTCTTGAGCTACTGTTTCTGTATTGAACTTATGATACTGAAAGTGGATGAAAGTGGCACTTGCTTATGAGTGCAGGTTCTGGGAGCTGGATGGAGCTGGGTCCTGACATGATACTATTGACATCCTCTTGACAAATGCAGCCCATGGATTACGAAGTTGGGGCAAGCTCTCGCGCCATTTTTTTCCTCCACTGGCGGCAATATACAAATACTGGTTGCCTTGCTGTTAGAAAGCGATTCATATGAAACTATAGAACTACAAAGGACGTTGAAATCACTTGGAACCGATCAATCATTCATCGTCAGAGTCGTCATCGTAGCTCTTAAAGCCTCCCTCCTCGTCTTTCCCAGATATTCTGTTTGAATCCCTGTTTTTCTTGTGCTGCTGAGCAATTGCATATGCACAACAACCCAGCACAAGACACACCAAGAGCAGGCCAGCTCCGACCTGGGGTCGCATAGCGACCCAAACAATTGCAATGACAAGTAGGCCACAGGAGCACCCAACTGCACAAGAGACGATCCAAACCAAGGTGTCCACCATCCCTTCAAGTAGATCCTCCAAGAAGCCCCCAACGCATGGGAGGCACCGAAGGAAGTCTCCGATGACGTCCGCACCTGCTGAAATCGGGGAAAAGCAACAGTAGACTGTGATGACCACAAATCCCAGGCCAAGCACTCGCATCATCCATGTATTTGTCGAATTCGTTTCTTCGAATTTGCCAGCAAACTGCGTCAAAGACATTGGCTTACCAATCAAGGCATCAAACTGCCCGGGAGAGCAGCCCCAACTCGAAGGCACCTCAATGGGCTTTGTATAGCCTCCTTCAACCCCGCTGAGCACGGATAAAGTTGTTGCCGAGTTCTTCTTATAGGAGATGCGCAAGCAGCCAATTGTTGGTGCGGCACAAGTCACAATGTACTGACCCGAGGGATCAATAGCAGCCATCTGCGGAGTGATTGACACGAATCCACCTGCTGGAGGATGAGGAGCCAATTGATTGAAAGGCCGAAAGCGACTAGCAAAGCTGGAGAGCTGCACTCGTTGATTGGGTTCCAAGCCTCCCAGGATGCTATCCTCTCCTGCAATGAGACGATGCCCAATGGTCAAGGGTCCTGCTCTCACGGATTGAGCATAGTTTTGTGAGGATGATTGGGGAAGATCTGCAGGCCAAGAGGGATTGCCCACTTGCCGAAAGTATGGACAGCCTTGGTCGCGTGCCGCCTGGGCTTGGCCGTTGTAAGCGAAGTGGCTGGAATCCACAGGCTGACTCTTCCATTCCATACTGTAACTGTAAATTTTGATCGTCTCTTTATCCCTGGTCTTTTCCGTTCTATATGTCTCCACACACTGATACATCTCAGCCTTTTGGGATCCCGAAGTAGATCTGAAAGAGATTGCGTCTTGCAAGCCCATGGAATTGAAACTGGCTGGAGTGAAGACCTGCAAGCTATCCTCATGGACTGGACAAGACATATACACGACCATATTCTGATACCAGGCATTTCTAGGCTCACAGCCAATGACTTCGGCCATCTTTTGGCCATAGAGGATCTTCTCGTGTGTGCAAACAGAATTGACTTCATTGTAGCCCAAGACCATCAGAGCCACTGGGAACAGCAGGATGCCAACACAGCAGAGGCAGAAAGCGTTGGCCATCTTTGATCCTGGACGCTGTTCATCCGCATCCACGTACTCAACATCGTTTGGGTTTGGTCCCCAACCAGGTCCACAGGGACCTGGAGGTCCACCCCACCCAGGGCCTGGGGGAGGTCCGTCCCAACCAGGGCCTGAGGGAGGCCCTTGACCCCAACCGCCGGGGCCTGGCCCAGGTGGCCCGGGTGGCCCTTGACCCCACTCCATGGCTATCTAAACTGTCAAGGTGAGTCAAGGTGGGCCGAAAGAAGAACCTGAACCGAAAGTCAACCTCTGGTGCCATTGATCCCACTGATAAAGCAGGCATGAAAGAGCGGGTGTCAGACCTGTCCGGTCACATGTTTTTGCTAGTGGCGTAAGATGCAGCAATTAGAGAGTGTATCCTTGAATCAAAAACCAGATCAAAGATCAGCAGGCACAAGTATCACCTCTTAATCATCTCAAGCCAGTCGAACTAACATTGCAGATCCGTCGTCATGATGAGAAGATTTGCCTCCTTATCCACTCAGTCGAAAGGTCCTTGGCTAGAACATGTTGCACGTGTGAAGTCACTACGCCACTTCACTACATGGCTCTGCTTGGAGGCACCATTGAGACTTCCAGTTGAATTTGAATGATGGCGGAATGTTTACCACAGCTAATTGGTTTATGGAGGGCCAGAAAGCTTCAAAAAATCGCACAGTTGAAGAGGTTGTAGTGTTCAACAAAGGGGGATATAGAGCCCACAAGCAAACTTGACTGCTCGTCATTGCTGACCGGCGTCTGACATATTTCTTCGAGGACCGCCGTTCTCAAAAAGGAGAAAGACGAGATGTATGTTCTCATTTAGCCTCCAGAGAGCACTTGACATGGTGGAAAGCTGCTCGCAAGCTGCTGACAGCAATGGTTTTTGCTGAGACATGATGCACGAACGAAAAGCATGAAGCGTGTGCCCACTGTGGACCGCACTGACGATTCAAAGGCAATGAGTCTCCAAAACCGACCACCTGAAAAGCTTGAGACACAGACAAATCAGCCAAAAATGCCAAGTCCATCCAAGTCCATCCAAGTCCATCCAAGTCCTTCATGTTCGCCCATTCTTTGCTTCAATGCATCGAAATTCTGCCATTCTCTCCTCCCTTACTTTGACCTAATCTGCTCCACCCGTCTCCATTTGCTTTCCTCCTTTTTCCGAATAGTTCTGATGTGGCTCCGTGAAACACCATAAAACAGACAAATGAATATGTCTCATGACCTGCCTACATAGTGCTGAAATGAGAAAAGAGACTTGCATGGGCACGGCTATGTAACTATCTACCTCCTTCCTTCTGCGGAAAGAAGCGAGTCTATTCAATATATAAAGCTACGGAGCACGTCATAAATATATATATACACATGCATATATATATATATATACATATATATATATATACATATATACATATGTATATATATATATATGTGAAAGCAGTATCCCCAGACAGAGTCATCCGACTTCTTTCATCTGGCCAGGTCAACCGACCGTTCATGTCGTGCTGCATCCGCCGAGACTTGCAGGCACGCTGGTTCGAGGACGAAATGGAGCGAAGCCTTGTGGCGTGAACCTAGGTAGGTTTTCCTCCGTCACCAGTTTCATAACTGGTAGCGGAGCCCCCAAAAAGGGGGCATCCAGGTAGATAGCCAGCTCTAGGTAGAGCGTTGGTAGAAAGCAGTATCCCATGGCTAGCAATGACAAAGACTTCGGCAACAACAAGAGATTCACTGGAGATGCACTGGATCCCTTGGAATACCGCCGATGGCGCCTGTGGGTGGAAGCCCGAATGGCATCTCAGAAAGATATGCAGCCTCAGCAGAGGGGCCTTTTTGTCTTCTGTTTTTTAGACGGAACAGCGTTGGAGACTGTGGAACACCTGACTCTGGATCAGCTCAAAGAGGAGAATGGTGACAAACATCTCTGGAAAGCGCTGGACGAGAGGTTCCCTGACAAGCTCAAGCATGACTGGCTGGCAGAATGTTTGAAAGAAGTGTTCACCCTGTCCCAGAGTGAGGGTGAGACAATAGTCGCTTGGACGTCCAAAGTCCAAGAAGCCTTCGCCAAGTGTCGGAGGAAAGTCGAGGTGGACTTTCCTTCAGAAGCTCGAGGATGGATCTGCCTCAATGCCAGTGGTCTTTCTGAAGATCAGCGGGCCATAGTTACAGCAAAGACTCAGGGGGACTTCAAGATTGAGACCGTAGTAGCTGCAATGAGAAGTTGTTTTCCAGATTTCAAGGCAACTGCAAAACAGACGAAGCCGAAGCCAGTCACAGCTTTCCTGGCTCAGGATGAGGTTGAAACCAGGGAGGAAGAGGTGGCTTGGACAGAGGTTCATGATGCAGTGGTTTTCGAAGACCTGGAAGCTTTTCTGGCAGATCACGGTGTTTCAGCTCAGGAGAATCAGTCCACCGAGGTTTTTGACGAGCTCGAGACGGCTGAGATTCTTGCAGCAACATGGCGTGAGAAGCGTAGTGAAATTTCCCGTCTGCAGAAAGCTCGCCGTTTTTCCCAAGTTGGAACTGTGAAAAGGCAGTTTCAGCAAGACATTCGCACTCTCAAGAGCCGTACCAAGTGTTTCAAGTGCCATCAGGTGGGACACTGGAGTAAGGATTGTCCAAATCGATCCACTCGTCCCTCAAAATCCGAAGGTAGTCAACCGGTTTCTGGTGCTGCAATGGTTGAGGATGGTCCCAACATGTTTTCTGAAGTGATGCTTGTTTCCTCTCCTGGTTTTGGCATAGTGGATTCCGGTTGTAGTCGAACACTTATCGGTCAAGACACTTTGAGTCATGTCATGAAGATGTATCAAGCCAAATGCATGCCTGAGCCCACGGACCGAAAAGAGCGTAACCTTTTTCGTTTCGGAAATGGCCATGAAGAGGTCTCAGAGCGCGTAGTGTCCATGCCGATTTCAATCAAAGGATCAGCCCCGCTGTTGCTCAGTAGGAACACGATGAAGCGCCTGAATGCAGTGCTGGATTTTTCAGCCGAGACCTTGTCTCTTGGAGGCGGCCCTCCAAAACCTCTCCAGGTGAACTCCGCAGGTCAGTACGTCATTGATGTTCTGAACACTGAGTCTGAGGTGCTGATGACCGAGAAGGTGCCATCTGATGAAAAGAAGCATGTTTTGTCCCGTAAGCAAAAACGGAACTTGATGTCTCAACACCAGCCTGGCAAAAGGCTGAAAGTAGATGTGCCGTTGCTGAGATCTTTTCCCCACCATGTTTTGCCAAGATTGCACAGGCTGAAGGTCGTAAGGGCTTGTCCTTTGACATCAAACAGGGTTGGGATCTTACATGTCCGAAAGTGCAACGTCAGGTTGATGAGATGCTGAATGAAGAGATGCCTGAACTCCTGGTTTGTTGCCCGGAATGCAAGCACTGGGGCGGTTGGTACCGCCTGAATCAGCACAAGCTAAGCCTAGCCGAGAGACTTCACAACAAGAAGGTGGCGGAGAAGCAAGCAGATTTCGTCGCCCAACAAGCTCGCAAACAGCTGCACCGTGGCGGCAGGGTTCTCATCGAGCACCCATGGACCAGTGACTTGTGGGATCACCCCCCAATTGCAAAGATGCTAGATCAAGGAGGGCTTTTGACCAAGTGCAAAGCCCACATGTGTGCATATGGCCTTACAGGCCCTGATTCCGATCAGCCGATCAAGAAGATGACTGGCCTTGCAGTCTCGCATCCCGACATGGAATCCCTTGCCCTAACGTGTCCAGGACACCAGTACCACAAAACTATTGAGGGTAAGTGCTGTGATGGTGAAAACCTTAGTGCCAAGACTGCTAGATATACAGATGGGTTTGTAAAAACATGGTACAGCTGCATCAAGCCTGAAATGTAACTTTTCCATTTTTCATGCTTGCAGGAACCGAGTGAGGAATCCCTGACTCTGAGTGTAGCCGAATGCTGTGCTGTCGCGTCAAGTGCCAATGCATCTTCTGATGAACCCGAAAATCAGGAACAAGTGTCCAAAGTGAAGAACAGTTTGAAGAAACTACATAATAACCTGGGACATCCGTCCACCAGGAGCCTCAAGAGGGTTTTGAAGAATGCAGGCGCATCCGAGACTGCACTGCGCCTGGCAGAGCATGTAGAAGCCAGCTGTGATATCTGTCAGCAGCGTGTCCGACCGACACCAGCCCTTCCTGCAGCACCAAATAATTTCCATGACTTCAATCACCGTATCGGTTGGGACGTTAAGACTCTCCCAGGCTGGAAGTTGAATCAGGAGATCAAGTGTTTGAACATTGTGGACTTGGCATCGGGTTTCCAAGTCATGCTTCCTTTTTATGCGAGCGAGAGAGAGAGAGAGAGAGAGAGAGAGATATCCGAACAGTTGTATCTGAAAGGATGGCAGCAGTGGGCACGTGTGCCGGTTGAAGTTTTGGTTGCCCCGGCGCAGACCAACACCGCCGAGTCCGTTTGCGCACAGTTGGAAACTGATGGGGCCAGGATTATCACCACAGCTGCAGAGGCACACAACCAGTTGGGGAAGGTAGAGAAACATGGGCATTTGTTCGAGACAATTCTTGTAAAAATGTTGGATCAAGTTCAACCCAAAAATCAAGAAGAGTATGAACAGTGTGTTGTCCAAACTATGAATGCAAAAAATGAGCTCTTGAACAAAGGAATGTCACCATGTCAGTTGGTGTTCGGTAGGAATCCAAGAGTCCCTGCGGACCTTGTTCAGGAGTCACCATGTCCCATAGCAGCGACTTCTCCACTCCATGATGCAAATGCAGCTCGTGCCCAAGAGATCCGAACCCAAGCCCGAATCGCACTAGTCCAATCTCAGGACGACATAAGCCTTCGAACAGCACTAGCAGCAAGACCACGTGCAGAGCGAGATTTTCTTGCAGGGGGCTGTGTGTCGCACTGGAGATCTCAAAAGTATGAGAAAGGAGTTCGAATGGTAGGAGGTCGTTGGTATGGTACCGCAATCGTCATGGGGAAGATTGGTAGGAACTTTCTAATCAGTCACCGTAAGAATCTCTTCAAGGTAGCTCCAGAACATTTGAGACATGTGACCACTGAGGAGCGAATGCTTGTTCAAACCGATGGTAGAGAGCTCCTGGGAATTGATGCTTTGGTGAATACAGATCAGAAGAAGTTCCTTGGAAACCAATTTCTCGATCTCACTCAGCAAAGTGATCCGGAAGTGCGATCTCACCAGCAGGTAGTTTCCCATCCAGAGTTGCTAGAGGATCATTGGGTTCAACGAGGAGATTTGCTGCGTCGTATCCACAAGTCTGCACGCACAACTGCGTTCATGCCTGATTCATGCCTGACCAAGATGACCCAGTTGTAAAGAACTTTCAATTTGAAGATTGGAGAGCTACCTATGTGCAAGATTCATTGGAGCCAATTATACATCAGATCTTCTCAGAACCACTGACCCAGCAAGTAGAGATCCGACAGCCGCCATGGACGCGAGAATCTCAGTTCAAGGTGCGAAAAGTGCGAGATGCCTTGACTCCAGAGGAAAGGGGTTTGGTTTCAGTGTCTTCTTCAAGTGCACCAAGTTCTGGAAGCAGTCCCGAAACCAACAATCCTGCCGTGAGTGATCCAACTGACTCCAGAGAATCCGAAGGACTTAGAAGTGAACCTTTTCCAAGCACGCCATCCATAGGTCCTGGGGATAATGGGGTTAGGAATAGCACTTATGGTCCCGTAAGACTTAGGATGAACCAAAAGGGTCCGGAGATGTTGTGGCTGAGGCCTCACGCGACTCAAGCTGATGATTTGAGAGAAATCCTAGAAGAATCTCATGGCACCAAGCGGAACCAATCCAGAGAGTCAAGCGTAGAACCACCGAGTAAGTGCACCAAAATAGATGCGGTAGACTTGCGCATGCTGATCGAAAACTCCTCCCAACCACTGGAGGTCTTGATTGCAAACTTCCTCAAGAAAAAGATGGCCAAAGAACTGCACCACTCAAACAATCCTCCTGCTCTCCAAGAAAAGATTGATGAATCTAAAGTTGTAGAATGGTCCACCTTGAGAGATGAGAAAGAAGCAATCAGGGTAATCCTGCCAGGGCAAGCCAAGCGTATCCGAGCACAGAAACCAGATCGGATCATGACTAGTAGATTTGTGGTGACGGAGAAACACGAGGATGGGGAATCGAAGATCAAGTCACGATGGTGTCTTCGAGGTCATCACGATCCCGATTTGGTTCAGAAGGTGCTGGCTGGAAAGTGTCACTCTCCAACGTTGTCACAGTTTGGAAGAAGTTTGATCCTCCAAATGTTGGTATCGAACAAATGGACAATGAATTTGGGTGACATCAAGGGAGCTTTTCTTGAAGCAAATGTGAGAGACAAAGCTCTGCAGAATCCTGTGTACGCTGAGCTGCCTCCTGGGGGTGTTCCAGGAATTCCAGAAGGTTCCCTAGTGCAGGTGTTAGGAAACATCTACGGGGCAAATGATGCTCCTCATGAGTGGTACCAGGAATTTGACACTGTTGCTCAATACTCCGGATTCACCAAAAGCAAGTTTGACTCCTGTTTGTATTTCTGTTATGGTTCAGATGGCAAGATGCAAGGAATTCTTGGTGCACACGTTGACGACACCATCACAGGAGGTCATGGTCCTGAGTATGATCGAGCCGTTGAACAGTTGAAAGCCCGATTTCCTTTCCGTAAGTGGAGGACTGGCAACGGGGAGTTCTTGGGAACAATCTATGATCAGTGCCCAACCAGTTTCCAAATCACCTATTCTCAAAAGGAATATGCAGAAAACATCAGGCCAATTTCAGTATCAAAGGAACGTTCAAAGAAACCCTGGTTAGCCACCACGGAAAAGGAGATCTCAGCCCTGAGGGCAGTGAATGGAGCTTTGGGGTGGCTGAGCACCCAAACCAGACCCGACCTTTCAGTTCAAACATCATTGAGTCAACAATGTTTTCCCAATCCAACAGTATATGATTTACTTCAAGCAAACCAAGCAGTGAGAAGAGCCCGTCAACAGTCAGACTTCAAGATCACCGTACCTTTCATTCCACTTCATGAACTGACACTATGTTTCTGGTCTGATGCAGCCTTTGCCAACACTACGGAGTTGAAGACACAGGGAGGTTGGGTTGTTGCTTTCACTTCAAACCGCATGTCAAAAGGGGTTGATGTTCCAGTGTACTGTTTTGCATGGAAGTCATACAAGTTGCCTCGTGTGGTTTCTTCGACACTGAGTGGTGAAGCCCAAGCATTTGCAACAGCTTCTGGAGTGTGCGAATGGATTTCCCTTATGGTCAGCGAAGCTTTGGACGGCAGTTTTGCTTTGGAAGATGTTGAGTCCATTTTACTTCGTAGAAAGCCTATAGGGATTAGTGACTGTCGCTCTCTATATGATCATTTAATTTCTCTCACCAACAGCAGAACCGTGGAAGATAAGAGAACTGCAATTGACATAGCTGTGATTCGACAGTCAATCCAACGCACGGGTCTGGAGCCGAGATGGTGTGCCACAATGTGCCACAGGCCACATGGTTGCTGACGGCCTGACTAAAGACAAGTCGATTTGTTGAGATCAGTGGTTCGTGCTGCGAAATATCAACTTGCCGACGAGCAGTTGGTCCTGGATAGGGAAAAGGCAGAGAAAGAGCACCGCAAACAGAAGGCACACCAGCGAGCTGAAGCCAATGGAATTTCTGAAATGGGGATGTAAGATGAGGGATAGGGGTAAGTGAATAACTTTAGTAGTAAAGGGATTACCAACGTAACTTGCCAAACCTTCGCCTTTGCATCCGTCCGTGCACAGTTTTGGAAGCATTTCGATCATGTGTACAGTTTTGACCATTTTTGTAGCCTGCATGTCAAGTTGCATGTCACCTAGGGACGGTGATGTACACAGTTTTGCTCGAGCGTAGTTTTTCAAAGTTTGGCTCTTCGACTGTACTGGTCAGTCTTGGTGTTTAGAGCAATGTCTCAAAAACCTGAGAAGCCAGTGACCGATGCCGAGGTGATGATGGCTCGCGAGATTCTTGCTCGATTTGAGCGTCACGGTCCTCCCGTGGAAATGAGCGGTGGATCGATGCATGATGGTAGCAAACGTCTGCGTGAGACTGAGGAGTGGGACGCCATCAGCTATGAAGATTCCACTGGTGAGTTTATGGATCACTTGTCAGGTTTGACCACTACTGGCAAACAGGATCCAATCGTGACGAAGCCCAAGGATTCCAAGATCACTTTTCCACCTGGAGTTTCTTCGTTGGTCGATTGGGGCACTACGATTTGCCGTTTACCGAGAGTAGCAAGCTTGAATGCCTCATACGAGGAATTGACCCGCATGCCTGATCAGCAGCCATATTTGAAATGGGTTGCTGAACATGGTGCCTCTCGTGGAGGTCGATTCGAAGATTTCTCTTTGTATCTGAAGGCAACGAAGTTGCCCGCACTTTCCGCCGAGCAGTGTTTTCCAGGCACTTCCGTGCCACGTGAACGTAAATCAGATGTGTGAGAAGTCAAATTTTAAAAGGACATATAAACTCTGAATGGGAACTGCTGTGAACAGCCGGTGAGCTGTGTGGCGTTCGTGTTTGGTTGCTCCTGTTTTTCTCTTTTTGCTTTGTTGTGTTGTTTTTGTTTTCTTGTTATGGGAGTGTGAAAGCAGTATCCCCAGACAGAGTCATCCGACTTCTTTCATCTGGCCAGGTCAACCGACCTATATGTAGACGTATTGCAAAGTTATATAAGTAAAAGAATAGAAAAGGTCGAAAACCTTCGTAGGACAGAGACACGCTCCTACACAACTTCGTCCCCTCAGGAGATACTACCACCATCCAAGCCTACATATCAAATGGTTTGCGGACTAAGGCTTTGGTCTATTGCAGGGCAGTCTTGAAAGCAGCAGGGTCAATGCGAATTGAAAGTTTTCTGTCAAGCTTCTGGAGTGAGCTCAATCCGCGCAAGTTCGCTCCTTGAAGGGGAGGTGTTCACGTGGGTAGGTTCTGGTCAGACACTCCATTTCTTGACAATAAAGAAGGCAAACTTGACTTGTAGCAGCAAAGAGTGGCCAGTTCCAACCAACGAATCGCAGCTTTGATCAGTGATGCAGAAAAGTTGCCCTTCTTCCCGGTCGATGCGTGGGCAGAAAATCAAGAATCTGCCATCCTGCAAACTCAAAGCATTGCCAATCAGTGCTGTGTCAAGATCAAATCAAGTCTCTCTCAACTGAAAATGTTCTTCAAAAAGGTATTCCTTCTCTAGCTAGAACACCACAAGCAATCTCGCTTTTTGTCAAGTTCTGGAAATACCCACACATGATAACCGAATACACAGGAGGAAGGAATATGTCCTGCATTTCTGACCCTGCCGCAGACTGATGCTCTGGCACATCCGGAGCTACACTCGCTCTCCGCTGCCCATGGTAACTTTCGGCCAAATCAGAATTCGCCTCCACCAGCGCAAGAATCTTTGGAGATCAATCTTGTTCTGGTCTGTTAAGGGGAGTAGGGATGAGTCATAATTCCAGCTTGAATATCAATGTACTTCCTCTGTCTGCCAATGTATGATGCAGCCAAGCAGCTATGACTGTTGCAAAATCTCGTGATGCCTGCCGAGATTTGTACTTGACATGAACGGGTACGAATATCATCGAATATCAATTCCGTATGGCAGACAGTCGCAGACCACGAAAAAACTAGCGCAAAAGACCAACAAATCCAACAACAACAGCTTGATGGACCTCCCCAATGAGGAGGAACTGCACTCGACAGGTGACAGGAATCTCCACATCAGGAATCTCCGTCAATTTTCGCTGAAGAGGCCTTTGAACAGTTTCAGCCACCACAGTCACACGTTCACTAAGCTGACTAAGCTGACTAAGTTCACAGCACCCCTTGGCCGTTCACAAGAGTTACAAGGGTCACAAGGGTCACAAGAGGAAGTGTTCACCAAGTGTTCAGAGTGATCACGCCAAGGCACCCTCTTGTGGTGCTTCCACCGATCTCCATACTGCAAACAATCTCAACCAAGCGCAGAAAATGCAGGGCTAATTACCAAAATACACGAGAAAGAAGGTGCCAAAAAGTGGTTCAGGAGCAGAAACCACAGACTTTGTGGAGAGACTGCAGAAAGAGCTGCTCTGATGCCACGAGATCCCCACCATGCAACTAGGAAAATATGCTTTCTGCTGTCGTCAAACTCTTGCCAAAGCATCTCAAAGACCTAGTTCCCGCTGCATATTTCAAACAGAGTTGCTTCTAGAACTCAAGGACAGTATGTGCAAAAGTCATGAGATATTTGCTGCAAATACGAATGCCATATGTTGCATGTAAACGAACAGGGAAGATCAAAGAAATGTTCTTTTGCATCCGTGCTATGAGGAACTTCGGGGGACAAAGGCTATTTGCATTCCAGCACAAGCACATCCAGCCCAGGGTCCTTGACTTTGACTGCTCCTTGGGTCGAGAAACTTTGAGAGCACCGTCAGGCAGTAGAACAATCAAACACGTCAGCAACAGGACTAGTCCTGAACAAAGTAGCACTCATCTTATGTTCTTTAATTACTGTAAACTGTAAACACAGCAAAGCTCTTGCAGCTATGAGGCCTTTGAGAGCCAATGCAGGCACGATGGCACAAGCACCCAAGAGCAGAGATAAGGGCGCTGTGGATTTTTCAAGTTGAAAAACGGAGCTTCTGAAAGGCTAAACAAGGCTGGCTGTCTGTGACGGGTTACGTTGCATGTCAACTGCTGTCAGTTGGGACGAGTTGTGCGATTTCTGTGTGATTTCATTGCCGCCCATTCATCCACAGAAACTTAGAAACACAAGCCGCAATAAGCTGCAACAAGCCGCACAAGTTCAAAATGACTTTAGGTAGTAAAGATCGGTGAGCACTTTGCCTACCGCTTGTTTTGATGAATACAGTATATACATGTTGCACAATTTTGATCAATTTTGCACAAAGATCCACAAAGTGTTCCTGACCATGCCATCTGGAGGCCAGCTGGGTTGCCAAGGCTTCCTCTTGATCTCGGATCTCATCTGGGGAGCTATCGAAGAAGAACTCCAAATAGACGGCTGCCTGCCAAGTGTGAATTTTGTGTGTGTAAACTGTTTGAACATATAGAATCTAGAACCGGTTTGAATTGTTGGACACCGCGGCTTTCTTTGTTCTGTCCGAGTCTTCTCTCTTCTCAAAGTTTACAGAAGCACATGCTAAACTTGGATGTTGCAATCATATATAAACAGAAACGTTTCTGATAAGCTGGTAGCACAAGTACCCGTGCAGGAGGTGAATGAGGTGTGCCGTGCTTATTTTGAGGAAAGCATGCAAATTCATCGTATCCTCCTTTCTTCAATTTCTGGTTTCCATGAAGACATTTAGGCAGTCTCTGGTCCACATATACAATGTTTTCTCTGAAGGAAACAAAGAGAAAGCGAAACGACAAAGCAATAGCAACAATTGCAACAATGGCAAAGATGCAGCAGCTTTCCGACTCTGCCTGGTCCCCTTTGCCTGGCGTGCGATGCTGCCACAGCCTCCGACAGAGAAGAAATCTCCAATTCAAGATTTACGAAACATCTTTGACCGCGGGTAGATTTGGTAGTGAATGCCAACACTCTTACAGTGCCAGAAATGGCGCCACAATCACGGCGGAGCAGGTCTGCTAGTTCCTTCCAGCTGTCTCCCTCCCCACCATTTCATCCACAAACATGCTTATAGTCAAGCAGCATGTGTCTGCAAAAAAAATGCTAAGCCAGAGTAAGACCGCCCAAACACATTTCTCTTCCAAATGCAGCAATACAAATACAGCTGTCTGATTTTGCCCCTGCCTGACATCAGCCAAGTTGAAGGTCTTACCCAGGCACTGAATACAGAATTGGGTTTTGGCCTACAATGGCAGGAGGCAAGCAAATGGATCGATTGACCTGCCTTTCCAACGCTCAACAATGTCTGACAAAGAAAAACAAAACAGGTACCAAGTGGATCCAATGGTAGCAATATGCACAGCGTAGAAATACACAGATTTTCCGTGACTTTCCCATCAAGTCAGGGCACCTCATCAGAGATGGGGCAACCACAAGCAGCACGCCACTGTGCCAACACCCTGTCCTTACATCAAGGTCAACTTTTTCAAAGAAAGACACTATCGCTCCAAGCACATGTGGTCGGCCGTGGAATCAAACATAACTATACTGGATTACATAATCGATTCAAACCCGTGGAAACAAAGATAGGTGCATACAGTATACTGAATACTTGAGTATAGATGCGCAAAAGCTGTGACGCTTAATTTCTTCTGGAATTTGTGTTTTTGTTGATTTTCCGTTTCGTAGCTGGGAGTAGCAGTGGGGTGTATTGGGAAAGCGGGTGGGGTCTCAGGATGTTTCAGGGTTAATTGATTTGCTTGAGATTTCCTGATTTCAACATTGAAGTTTCAAACGGCGACATTGATCTTGCGCAAAAACAATATATAATATTATAGGAAGAACATTTACCGCAGGATGCATGCGGTCCCAGGCAAAATCGTTTCGCGATCCCAAAATTGCTAACTCAATGGAACCGGTTCGGTGATTTTTGGCAAGCAGCTGCAGCCATGGTCTCTGGGACACGCACAAACGCATCGAAGAACCCGGCACTCAAACTTCACAGCTTTACATATGAAGGACGAAACTCAGTTCTCCCTTCAATTTCTTTAATTTCCTTCTGTTGCTAAATCATGCTAAATCTGCTCCGCTGAACATGTGACCAGGCAATGGAACTAAGTCTTTCTGCGAGAAGCTGGCCTACCAGTGTGGGTCTATATGAGGGCTTGCACACTTTTTGATGCATGAGTTCACTACTTGATTAACGTATAAATCAAATCATCAATAAACTGATTAGTTGATTGATATTTTTTTTGGTTTTCCTTCCTGCCTCTTCTTCCGCTTCACTCCTTTGCTCTCTTTCATTCTTGCTGTCAATTTCCATTCTGTCTTTCTTTGTTTGCATTCTTTGTGCATTTGCTTTCTGCTTTGCCTCTTTGCCTGCTTGTTTGCTTGTTTGTTTGATCGAATTGCTTGTTGGGCTCTCCTTTGCTTGATTGTTCATTTTTTCGTTTGTTCATTTGTTTGCCTGTTTCTTGCTTGTTTGCATGTTTGAACATGGAATTAAAACAGATTTTATACACTCTGATCTCTGCGCGCTCCACAATCCACGTCCACTTGGGAAGGCGCCTCTACACTGAGCTTCGCCAGGGCTTTGGCATCCAAGGCTTTGGAAGCCGTGTGCGGATTTCTAGTCGAGGTACCTCAGCATGTCTCCGTGTTTCCAGTTCCACTTTGATAGCACGGCACTGATTTGGGATCGGAATGCACAACTTCCCTATTTCCCCTATCTCCCCTACAGCCAAAAAGGTTGGCTATCGCAAGTCAGTCCCTGCCGAACCTCCAGGTGTCTAAGGGCTTGGCTTTGGCGGCCGCTGTACGCAGCTCGCTGCTTTGCATCTGAAAGCACTATTCATAGGGGATTCAGTTTTCAAAGCGTAATGGTTGAGATTAAATAAACAAATTCCCAAAGAATAAATCAACAAATTAGTTACTTAAATGTAAAAACCGGCATTGTTCCAAGATCTTTTTTGCTTCAGGCAAATGCCAAACCGCAAGCAAATTGATTACACAATAACCAACACACAGACACGCAAAGGTTTCAATCTTGCCTTCAGTTGTCATGGCCACAAAGCGGCCGAAAGTATGACAGAAAAGCTTCGTTTTGAGCCAGACAATTCAATAAATAATCATGTAAATGTACATATATATACATATACATCGAGAGAGAGAGAGAGAAAGAGAGAGAGAGAGAGAAAGAGGAAGAGAAAGAGAGAGAGAGAGAGAGATTACATACACATGTTGTATGTATAATATATATATATATTATATATATATTAGATGGTTGATCAAAATTCTTTTATCCGGGAAGGGCCATTCTTCGCTCTTTCGCGAATCTTTCGCGAACTCCATGTTTATCTTTCGCAGAACCCATGTTGAGCAACAACTCCTCTTATGAGGGTTCATTCATCACCTGCCAAATCACACCAAATTATCACGGATAACTTCTTCATAGCCTTGTAAACATGCAGCTAGCATCACGGAACCCCCTTCTCAGGACAGGTTGGTGCTGATTAGGCAATTTTTTGGCCAGGCTTGCGGCTTAAGCCACTCCCTTCAATGTGCGCTTTGACTTCCGCCAGCTCCTTCGCAGAACTTTCGTGGAACTTGCGCGAAAAACCCCTATCTGCACGCATAGGAGGGAAAGCAAACACCAGTTTGGCTCTCGCAAAGCCTCACTTTTGGAAGCTTGGCTGCTGCATTTGGAGCTTGTTTCTTGAGACTTCAGAAAGCAACGTTAGGATACGTTAGGCAGTACCAGCGGCAGGTGCAAGGATGTGCTTCAAGACCATGGTATTTGGCTGTGGCGAAGCCTCACCTTCGGAAGCTTGGCTGCTATAAATGTGTGGTACCATTCTCCTGCCGGACCCCCGGGCGGCAGGAGGTGTAGCCCTTAACAAGCTGTAATGTATACAATGATGATGACTCGTAATATCCAACTTTTCGCGAAACGTTTGCGAAAAAAAACTTCCGCGAGGGTTTCCAACACAACTCCTTGCTTGCAAGGACCTTTAGATTAATATATTTATGTTCTTGCCACAGCATCCAATCCATATTCCAAGCCTGACATCTGTGGCCTTGGCTCATTTCCCGTTTCAGGAACCTTTGTTTTTCACTTGCATCAGCCATGCCACGGACGTGAAAAGCGTCCGTGCGTTCTGGGTCAGGAGACCTCTTGGGACGGGATCAGGAGATCCATCGGTGGTTGCTCCCTACCAACATTTATATACCATGTTGTCCAAGTTTTGCAAATACCAAAGCTGAATGGTGGTTTGATGGGTGAACGGATTGTGTCTTTGCGGTGGGCATGCTTGCAGAAACCTGCTGCAAGCCACCTGAATTATCAGAATCTCAAACATTGGCCTTGACTTTTAAACATGGCTGGGTGGACTTCTGTCTGGGAAGCCTGCACAAATGCACAACCCGTCACAACGCGTCACAACCCTACAAACACAAAAGCTCTCAAAGCCAGAACTGTTGTGAAAGGGTATCACTAGAGACTGAACCAATGAAGGGACTGTAAGTGTTGCTGAATCCAGCATTCATCCAGCCCGGATGCAAAAGGTAGCATTCAAGCAGAGAAAGAACAGCAGTTGCGGTTGCGTGTAGTTTGAACCAATGTGGAAGGCCCGGTGCGAATAAGCCTCTGTCTCGTCAGCCTCATTCGCTGAACTTTGATGGACATCCAGCATCTCCTTTCATACGGAGTTCATCAGAATCATACTAAACAAATGAATAGTGTATAATGTCAACACTCCTGCACGGTAAAGGGAACATAACCCAAGAAAAACTGATGATATGACACTCGCTTGCTGGCAGGCAGGCACAATGCAAACAACGTTATATTCTTAACAGCAGTGTCCTTGTCGTCTGCAGCCTGATGTCAGCAAAGGGGCGAAGCAACGAGCAACCGAGAGCCAGCAGAGAAACTATTTTGACAGTTTTGCTAGTATACAGTATACAAGACGATGCTGGCGACCTTTGGACGAACCAATGGAATATCAACGGAATGAGGAAGCATGCTTGATAACTACAGTAATATAATAATATCTAGCTTCAGCGCCGAAACCCAGCCTCAGGACTTATGACCCGCAGCACCTGCAGCTTTCAACTGAAGGCTCATAGAAGTGACAAGGTAGCATAGCAGAGCCCTGGCATACTGAATACAAACGGAATGCAAGGGTACAGAGCCATTTTGAACTTACCGAAAAATCCCTTCCAAGATTCTGTAGATCTTGGCACAGACACATCCAAATCTATGCACTAGGCGCATCACTGTGTCCATTGCTTTGCTAGTGGTTCACTTCCCCTAAAATAGCTTGACATCTGCCTGGGTCTGGTCCTTGTCCCAGTTGGGTCCCGGACTGATTTGGATTGATGTTTCATTTTCTTGTTGATGTTTTATGTCGTTTTGATTTGATTTGTTTTGTAGTATTTTGTAGTAACAAACATGACGATTAAATGGCCAATGGCTCGGCCTCTTCAGCTGAGGGGCTGTGATTTACGACGCCAAGCACCTCAGGACGCAATGCATCGCGAATGAGCTGAAGCGACGAAGTGTAAAATTCGGGGACAGCGCGACAATGTTCACACTGGGAATGTCGTCGTACATGGCTGGCCAAAAAGCTCAGCATATGCCACTTTAGTAAATATATGGCTTTTTCACTGTGAACAACCCAACGACTTCCCGAGGACGAGTGTGCTTTGCACTCAAACTGGGTCCGCCCAACAGCGCAAGCGCCAGCGGTGCCAAGGTAACTTGCAAATGCCTGTCTGTCAGGTCAGAAACAAATTGCAACAAGAACTCTTTACAGCGGCAAAACTCTCCTCTGGAGCTTGCTTCGCCAGCTCCACTGCATTGTGTATGTCCCCTGGCGAGCAATGGTGACATGGTGCAGAGGACTAGCTTCGGAACCAACAAATCTTAACAGGACTACAAGGACACATAACAGCCCTCATGGTATCAAGGACAGCCTGGAGTTGAGAGATCGATCGGCTCGCCGTCCAGCTCAGCCTCATCCATGGGAAAGCCATCGCCACAGTCCTTGCCCACAAGAACGCGCACAGAGCACAGAGGCCATCACCATGCCATCACAAAGCCATCACGACCATGAAGCCACGACCATGAAGCATCCACCATCACCACAGCTCTTCTCACACAGCACGAATGTGAACACAAATTATGGATTCATGTGAATTCATGGGGGATAGGAAATTGTTTAGGGAAATTATCTATTTTTGTTTAGTTTTTGTTGTTTCTGGCTGTGCCCATTTGCAGCATTTGGGAGCTGGAACCTTCCATTTTCGAAGCCATTTGCAGCATTTGGGAGCTGGAACCTTCTATTTTGCAAGCCAGTTGCAACATTTTGGAGCTGGAACCTTCCAGTTTGCTTGCCAGTTGCAACATTTGGGCTGGAACCTTCCATTTTGCATGATATTGTCATTTGTTTGCAATATGTTGGAGCTGGAATCTTCCATTTGGCATTCTATTTGCAAGTTGTTGTTGGTTGTTGGTTGTTGTCTACTAATTGTGGGTTCTTGTTTTTTGTTTTGTTATTTTTGTTGCAATTGTAGTTGTAGCGGCTGTAGTTTTTGTAGCTGTAGGTACAGTTGTTGTTGTAATAGTAGTTTTTTGTTGTTATTGCTGTTGTTACTGTTGCTGTTGTGGTTGCTGTTGGTGAAGCCAAAAAGCCCGTAAAGCTTTGCAGAACCAAGAAGACAGAAAACTGGCGAAATTATCAAGGCCAAAAAGCAGAAAAACAAACAACAGAGTTTGCGTCGGCGTAGTATTTGCCATATTTTCAGCATTCTGCAATGTCAACCTGCATTGTGCACATAGAACCTCTAATTTTGCATGGCATCTGCAACATTTGGAAGATAGACCTTTCATGTTGCATGGCGCATGGTATTTGCAGGAATATGCAAATGATATTTGCAGCATGTTTGAACTTCAACCTTCCATTTTGCATGGCAACTTTCCATTTTGGTTAATATTTGAAGCATTGTGAAACCTTAACTTGTTAACCAGCTCATTTCCATCATGATCTTCACACCAATGCAAAGAAACTAAAAAGGGTAAAAACATCCCCCTTTGAATTAAGTGAGGGTGTTGGTGTTGACAATTTTATAGTGATAATCCGGGAGGCCCTGACCCTCTTTCTGAAAATGCATCTATAGAATCAGAGATCCCAAGGTATTTTCAAGTTGACAATCTCTATAGAATCGATGCCGCCCAGTCACTCTCGTTCATGGTTGGGGGGGTTGGTTGGCCTTCTATAAAATCAGGCTCCCCAAGTCTCCTTCATTGACAGCTGACCTGAATGCTCCAGTTACTCTTGCCTAGCTTGCCTTATGCACTCCCAAATTTATAGAGTTCAAAGGCTCCAAGTGTTCACTGTCAACCCCTTCAATTTTATAGACTGGTGAAAAATGCCTGAAAGATCTTGAAAGTCGCTCTGTTTCATTTTGTTTCCATCTGTTTCCATCCGTTTGCTCTTTTTTAGCGGAAAGGCGGAAAGGCTGGCTCGAGGACTTCGACCCAAAAACGGTGAGACATACTGGGGCCCTGGGGAGACACAACGGGGAGACACAACGGGAAAATGATGCAAAATGAAAAATGTCACTTTTATAGTTTATAAACCAGAAAAAACTGCTTTTGTAAGATATTGGAATGTCAAAATTGTACATATTTGCTGAATATAACTGATGATAACTGATGAAACCCTGATGATGGATCTCCAACAAATCTCCAATATATCCCAAAAGTATCCAAAAGTTTCCAAAAATATGTCAAGATTCCAAATGATTCCAAAATATACAAGGATGATCAAGGATGATCAAGGATGATCAAGGATGATCAAAGAATTGTTGTGGGAAATTGGTTCTGCCAATACTTCTCTATAAAATTGAAGAACATGACATACATCCAAAGAGAACATATCCCACTGTAGAATCGCAGTCCCTAAGACTCTCTGCTGACTAGTCCTCAGTGCTGTCTTCAACATGAAATCTCTATAGAATCAGAGGCCCCAAGGTCCTCTATAAAATTGAAAGCATTGACACTGGGTAGGTACCCCTTATTAAGTCAGGGGGTTAAAATGCACCATTTTCCAGGACCTAACGTTCCCGATTCTGTAGAGGAAATTCCAAGGGGGATGTAAAAACGAAAGCACGCAACAACAAATAAAAAACAGCTGGAGGGGGGCATGCGGGGAGGCGCTGCGCCTCCCCCCAAGGACCACAGAGACAACTTCGGTTGTGTTCCTCCTTTGCCGTTGTAGTTGTTCTTGTTGTTCTTGTTGCTTTTGTTGGGTGTGTTGTTCTCGTTGATCCTTTTGTACTTTCTGCTCTTGTTGTTTGTGCTGCTGGTGCTGTTCTTCATGTAGTTGTAGCTGAACTTGTAATCAAGCAGAACAACAAGGAAGCAAGTAGAAAAAGAAAAAGCAACTAACGCCTAAAGCAGAAAAAATACAAAGCAGATAACAAAAAACAGAAGAACGGAGAAGCAAAAAAAGCAGAGAAGCAAAAGAAAGCAGAGGAGCAAAAACAACAGAGAAGCGTAGTTAGTAGCAAAACAGCAGATAGCAGAGAAGCAAAAAGCAGAGATGCAAAAAAGCAGAAAAGAAAAAAAAAAAGCAGAGAAGCAAAAAAGCAGAGAAGCAAAAAATGCAGAAAAGCAGAGAAGCAAGCTAAGCAAGCAAGCAGAAAAGCAGCACAGTAGAGAGGAGAGAAAAAACCAGAAAAGTCTTTACAGTAAAAAAAAGAAATGGCTTAAATAAATGGCCCTCTATGAATGGGAGGTGGTCGCGGCCTCGCCATCGATGTCCTCCATCGCATACTTGCTTTTTCGCCTTGAGTGTCTTTGTGTGTGTCGTGGGCTTCTCTTGTCTCTCTTTTTTGACGGAAGACGCACCATGCTGGATGCACACAAAGCGAATGTGGCGCCTGGAAAGTTTGTTGGCTGCATCCTCCTTTGCTTGCTGGAGTCTTGCCTGTTCTAAACGACTGACGACAAATGTTGCAGTGTTCTGACGAAAAGGAATATTGCAAATAGGAACATACATGAACATACAGCTACATGTGAAGTTCACGGAGAGAATGGTCTACATCTAGAAAAATATTCTTCCCGAAAGGATGCTCCACAATCTCACAATTCTGCATTCAACGTGGTCAAAGTGAAAACTTCCAGCATCTGTGCAGCAGTTGTCAGATTCAGCCAGTCTAGCCGAATGAATCGAATTCGTGCAAGTGCTGTTGGGCACCTGTTCCTTCTCATAGGCTAGAAGCTCGTAAGTGACCTTGCTAACAGTCAAACATGCAATCGGTCAAAGTCTTGCTAGATGCTGCACAATGCAATGTCCTTCGATCATCTTCATCTTGGATCCAATGCTTCAGATTCCAGCCAAACGATCTATGAGCCACTCTTTGCGTGCTTCCTCCAGGCTTAGCCTTGCTGCAATAAGCTTTGCATGAACACTTCGGTTCCAAGATCTCTTGAACATCCCATGCCTCTCTATTCTCCACCAAAACCATTGCGATCTTTTGAGAGCTTCAATACTCTAGCATGATCTGGGCATGATCCATTAAAATCCATTATACTGCAAGGTCTTTCGAAGCAAATCTGGGCAGGATGCGCTTTGGTGGGCTCGAGGTGCCCAGTCGAGCATCTCAAGCCACGGGTCCGGCACATCTTCTCCAACTGTCACGCAGGGATAGGAAAAGGAAGGAAAGAAGGAGGGTATGAAGGCAGTTCAGATTCGCTGCCACTTATTCGTGGACTTTGCTTCGAAACATATATGTATCTATCTATCTATCTATCTATCTATATATATATATATACATACATACATATGATTATATATATACATACATATGATTATATATATATATATGTGACCAATATCTTTGAAGCACTTTTACATTCGTGTCCTTCGCGCACAAGGAAGAAACATCCATTGAGAAAAGGCTACAATGTTTTTCCCCTGTAGACCATTTCCAAGTTTCTGTAGGAGTTTGTCAGGTCTTTGCACGGAAGCATCGCTCAGGTTTCAAGATTCTGATTTCAGGAGAAGTAGCTGAGAGGTTCTGATCAGGGCAGTCCTTCGGATAAAAGCAGGTGAAGGGTTTCTCAATGACAAAAAAAATGACGAGAAAACCTAGTGTGAAAAGAACACAACTATAGCTGTTGGGAGGTAAAACTCAGAAATGCTCAAGCACAAAAACACAGCTTTGCCATGTTCGCCTGGGAGAAATGCTGCCGTCTCCAGTCAACCAGTTTCGGTTCCAGCCTTTTCAGACAGAAATGTAAATGCATAGAATGGTAATTGAAAGAAAATTGAGTAGTATCTCAGCGCTAGAAGCAGCGTGAAGCAGCTCGCACAAACATGAATGTCATGAATATCAACGGCATCTTCCTGTAGGGAAAAAGTTCTCGCAAGTCACATCTCAATCTATATGCAGCATATATGCACCGCCAAGAAACCAAGAAGGCTCTCGGGACAGGTCGCCCTTGCTGGAGAGCAACCTTACCGTCCACACTTTGAGGCCGTCTCTTCTCGTTTCTTTGAACAACAGCCAACATCCACAACAAATGAAAGCGGCTAATCGTTGTTTTGCTTTTGTTGGGTCAATCGCTCCAAAACCAAAGCAGACCGCAAGCTGAGGATCGGAACCTGAGTCTTCTCACACCGATGATCACTGCAGCCTGATCTGAAGCAGTGGTGATGGTGATGGTGATGGTGATGGTGATGATGATGATGATGATGATGATGGTGGTGCTGGTGCTGGTGCTGATGCTGATGCTGATGCTGGTGGTGATGGTGCTGGTGCTGGTGGTGATGGTGCTGGTGCTGGTGCTGGTGGTGATGGTGCTGGTGGTTATGGTGATGGTGGTGGCGATGGTGCTGGTGCTGGTGCTGGTGCTGGTGCTGGTGCTGGTGCTGATGGTGGTGGTGATGGTGGTGATGGTGATGGTGATGGTGATGATGATGATGATGATGATGACCGTTATCATGATCATGATCATGATCATAATAATCATATATGTGATGTAATAATATGATGATATGATGATAGGATGATATGATGATATGATGATATTATGAATGATAGCAAGATATGCAAAGTGAACTAAAGCCGGATATGCAAATGTTCATAACTCCGAAATCACAACGCCCAGCGCTGGCACCAAAACTTCAAACCTTGCTCAGTTTCACTATCCATGTGGTTCTGATCATTTCATTTCTTACCATTTTTAACCTACAGGGTTTACCCTTCCAAAGCCTCTAGGCCACGAAGATATTGCGGCGCAAACAGACCCCAATCCTCAAGAGAATGAAACTGACAATATCTGACATATCTTCAAGTTGTTAAACTGCACCTCTGGAGACTTGAAAATGAGAATCCTTGATTTGAAGCTCACAAGAAGTGATGTCCTCCCAGGCTTTGAGCAAGCGGACAATCTGGCGCGACATAGGCACAGCATTTCAAGGTGTGTGGCCGCCTGTCGCCTAATTCTACTTCGGTTGCTTCGATGCATGACATGCGAAGGTGCCGTGGCTGACTCATCTCGCCTGTTCCTTGGCCTGCGCGACCTGAAGCTTGCTCTCTGAGCGTTGCAGGCCTGGAGCACCGAAGAACTACTCTCGTAACAGAATACGTAGAAAATGAAAAAAAATACCGTACCTACCGTACGTGCCAGAAAAAGATATCAAAGGACTATTTGTGAAACAAACACTGCACAGAACGCTAGAAAAAAAAAGAGCTCCAGCTCCATGGAATGACTTAGACTTTCAAACAAATTTGTTCTGGTGATGCTATTGCCAGGTAGTGGAGGTGGTGGAGGCGGTGGGCAGGGTGGGTTCTGATGCACTGCCCATTCCTTGCTCAAACTGGACGGCCATGAAACATAGTAAAACCATGGCATGGACAGTGACGCCTCGCGCTGTAGTGACAATGACTCAAATAGAGATTGCAACTCAAATGGACATAAACAAAAAAAACAAGCAAGTCTTGGTCCCTTGTGTTTAACAACGTCAGATGGATCACCACAAGAGATACTTTATTCATGCATGAAAAATCCTCCATTTCTATACATCTCTTTCCACTTGCTCAACATTTCACTTCTCAAACCTGCGTGCTTTGTAAGTCAACTCCACTGCTTAACCTATTGGAGATTTGGTTTCAAATTAATGTCCACTACCTCTATTGTCCATCCACTACTTCAACATCTTGCAGACCACTTTGTTTTCATGTCTTCGAAATTCAGTCCAATTCAATTCCTTGCCTTCATGGACCTTTATTGTGGTTTTTGTCCTTCTATCCCAACTCCACTCTACATTCATGCCATTCACCGCAAGAACATCACCGGCGAAGCCAAATCTGGCGATAGTTTCCCTCTCAAGACTCCCATCCCCATCTGGGAAGATCTGCAACGGCATCATGTCAACTCTCCATCAATCTCTAAGCCAAGTATCCAATTTCGAATTGCTCGAAAATGTCAGGAAGGGACTTTTCAAACTCTCTGCGGTACCTGCCGCTCTTCAATGCAACGGGTGTGCACACTGCATTGGAATTAAAGTCAGATGTGATTCTAAGATGACCACTTGAACTTGGCTACTACAAGTAAGCCTGTAAGCCTTCCAAACGGGGCACGTCCAAGCTGCTTGTCTTGAGCTGGTGGTGTTGTGAAGGATGTCACTAACCACTAGAAGCCTCGACAAACAATTTGCTGTGCACGTGTCCCAAACCTCGAAGCACTGCAATGGAGTCCATGGCCTAGCCACCTTGAGTGGAATCTCAGTTTCTGCCTCCGGCGGGCTCTGAAGGCTTCAAGGGTCACTTCATGCAAATTCATAAATAATTCATCAATATCAATATAATACTATATATCTATATTATATACATATATATACATATATATACATATATATATATATATTATTATATATATATATTATGTATATTATATGTATATTATATTTCATCTATATATATATATATATTGTATATATATATATAATGATTACATCCCTGATCCATCGTTGATGCTGATGCTCAAGATCGCTGGCTGAGGAAGCTACGATGGTCAGGGACTCCGTAATTGTTTCGGCAATCTCAATTGCCTTAGCTTCTGCGGTCTGTGCCCTCTGTACGATTTTGCACCAATTTCCTCAGGCTGGAGCCCATTCGCTTTTGTCCAAGCAAAAGACCATGGTCTCCATAATTGAAGCCCTGGTGCCTGAATTCTGACAGGGCTGGTCAAACAGCAGTAGGCCTTCAATGGTCGAGTCATGCCTAGTGCCTAGCCGGCCTACCTACTGCAGCAATCAAACGTGGGCCCAAGATACAACTCCATACAACCCCCCCGATTGAACAGCAAATGAATCGGAAGCAACATCTTAGTTGCTGGCTAGTTTGTTCCATTTTGCGCTCTCAAACCATGTGACACTACTAATGTGTTGCCATGTTGCTGGAAACGTTCCGCAGGAGCTGCTCAAGAAGAGACCAATCTTCATCACTGAGGCGTTTGCCTTGCATGCAAAGGGGGACGAATGATCATTCCAAGATATGCACATCCCTGACTGTCCCTGACTTGCAGGCCGCAATGCACTGCTGCTTTGTAATTGCAGGTAAAGTCATGTTCCGGGAGTCCACAACAACAACGCAACCCGAATCGCCAATGGCCCAAATGTGTTCTGCTTGTTTGACGTCCAAAGAAAACACCTCACTGACTCTGACACACTACTATATCCCACAATTGCTAACCACGAACAACTGGGCAGTGATTGCTCAAGAGAGAAGTGCCAGACATGATTCACAGACTTCGGCCCGATTCGGGTGCAAGAATGTCAAGTATCCAGGTATTGAATCCTGCAAGTATGTGTGTGTGTGGATCACTGAAACTAAGTCAAAGGGCTGATCAACACGTGAAAAAGGATTTACACATGCATTCGTGCATGGCCGCATATGCAGTGTGTCTCTCTGTGTGTGTGTGTGTGTGCGCGTGCATATATCTGTGTGGATGGATGCACGGATGGAGCAATGGATGAGTTGGTGACTGGACGGACAAATCGGCGGGTGCAAGTGGGTGGGTCAGTAGGTAGAAAAGTAGGTAGGTGCACTAAGTCAGTTGATACGGACAGCATCTGATGTTTGGGAACAAACTGTCGCACGCGTGAGCAGGCACCTGGTGCGGCACTGACCTCCATATTTGCAGTGTGCACGCGTGACACATACCTATACCTATACCACATAAATCCACAATAATCCACATATAATGTTGATTTGTATTGATTTATAAATTTATATTATGTTGCCTTGCTCTGAGGAGCACTGCACGACAAGGATACAAGTACGGGTCATACGATACGGCAACACGCGCAGATCAATGCAAAACGAAATGCAGTGCATTGCAGTGCATTACATTGCACGTTTCCGCAGTGTATGACATACCTTCACCCATACACAAAAGAGAATAAGAGAATCACATATACATACATATTACACAAACATGTGTATGTGTAGACGTAGGGAGAAATAAAAGTAGATAAGTAGACAAATAAATGGATACATAAATACATAGATGGATGTGGTTTTGAATTGGTCCATTTTGCATGTGCCCGCTCCTGACCTCCAGCAATGGACCTGTTGCGGTCTCGCTTCTGGCGCTCCTACCAAATCAGGAGTGCTTCAACAAGTATGCTGCAGCATGCCAGAGACAGGCATGACAAGCCGGGAAAAAAGTTTCAAATGCGAATAGTTGTCTCCAAAAAAATGCAAGCCACTTAAGGAACCAACCCTCCAAAAAGACAACTTTGCTTGAACATGACCCTCAACAGGCCCCAAGAATCAGCAAATTCACTGAGTGCAACGTCGCAGTCTCGTTGCGCTTGTACGCCATTGGTCATGTGTCCTGCGTCGCTCTCTCCTCCAATCGCTGACGCTCACGCTCCTGGGAAGCCACGCGGCCAGAAAGAATCGCCAAATGCAGTACCTTTGGACCTATCACCTTTGTCGGCACAAGAATTGTGCTGCACAAATGTCGCACGCAAGAATTCTGACCCTCAGCACCTCGTCGATATCCTCCTGCGTCCAGTGAGCAGGCAGCACAGCGTTGCCTCTTCGAATTGGCTGGCAAAGACTCCGAAAGATGTCGGCTTCACATGGGGAAGCCAAGGAGGCTTCAAATGCAGGTGAAACTTTCCCTTTGGTGTTCTCCCCTTTCCCGTGTCAGCTACCATAACTTTCAGCGAAGTACTCTACATGACACGCGTGATGGCGCATACCTGTTTCAACAATCCCTCAACTCACGTTCGCAGGACCAGAGATGCTTCCCCATCATGTTGGTTTGGTATGGTTTGGTATGATTTGGTCTCTTTAAAGCTGCAGAAAGCACGAGCTTGCCTCGCGCTGCCTTCACTGCAGTGGCAGGATTTGGCGTTTGGCTGACCACAGCATTTTGGGCACTTGCATCCTGGCATCTTGATTGATTATGACTCTGTAGATATGTAAAAAAGAGCCCGCTTCAATCTGCACAGTCGCTGTAGTTATTGGCCAAAAATTTAATGCAAGGTTTTCTCTTCAGTCCCAGCCTCTGCTACTGAAGAAGAAAATTTGGACTGCTTTTTTTTCTCAGCAGCCTCTATTGCAGCCTCGAATGCTGTTGAACTTGCCTATGACTACCCGAGGATGCTGTGGAGGCAAAACAGGCAAGTCTATTCAAGACTATTCAAATCATTTTAAATATTTTCAAATCAAGTGTCAAACTCTGGCAAGATCGGCAAAATCAGTTTCTGTCAGAACTGACAGTTTGTGGTGAGATTTGGTGAGTCTGATGCTTCACATGATGGCGGTCTCCACCATCGGCCACCCTCGTAGACACGGAAAGTTTGGGTGCGCCATACCTGGCTGCAAAAAGGCCCAAGGTCCAAGTGCCGAGATGTGATGATTCCGTACTTCTTTCCACCGCCTTTTTTGGAGCTGTGGAAAGAGCGACCCCACACTGAAAAATATCTAATATTAAGATCTTCACACCTTGAAGTTGTCGCGCTGTGCAAAGGCAAACGTCCTTCAGGAAATGAAAATGTTTGAAACCTATGGAAACCTCACATTCACTGAGTTCCTCCCGCAACTTGACCAAAGTTGTTTGTCCTCCATCGGTAGTAGATGTTCTCTGGTGAGTCATGGTAGAAAAGGAAGTCAAACATTCCCTGCAATTGAAAAGCTGCCACATGTACTACATGATACTCCATAAAACCACATCATACAACATGATATGAGGTGTTTGATTGCATATATTTGCATGAGAGGTTTCAAAATTGCCTTTGAAGCTGAGTTGAACCTGCCTCAGGAGACTCGCGCTGCATGATGAGCTTTTCAAAGCTAAAGCCCTCTTGCGACACGTACCTACCAAACAAAAAGATCAAAAACTTCTATATAAATTATAAACGTAAATTTTCAAGGTTTCCGGGTCTTCCAAAAGTTTCCCACTTGTCCAGTAAGAAAAAAATCGACTATATAGAATTTTTAGGTCAGAGAGATTGTCTGGACTGAGAGCCCATGTGTTGTTGTTTTTACAATTTTCTCCAACAACGTTTCAGGACTTCAGAAGTCCATGCAGGTTGCTCTTGCAATCCCTTCATGATATGACTTGACCCGAGTATTGCCACAGTTCTTCACACGTCACTTCCTTGTCAACCCCATTTGTTTCTAAGTTGGTGTGTGTGTGTGTGTGTACCATCTGTAGAGATGTAAAACTTCGTTATGTTGCAGGGGGCCACCGGGTCCCAGGGGGTCGGTGGCCAACGAAGACACCCCCTGGGTACCGACAGTTCTTAGCAAGTGTGAGTGTGTGTGTGTGTGTGGAACACCGGAATAGATGTAAAACTTCTAACTGTCGTCTTACCTGCTTTCAATCTGATGTTTCTCCTTTTTGGTTTTGAATTTTAGAGCAGGGGGGCCGGAGGCACTGATGAGACCGGCACTAACAAAAACACTCATCAGTTGCCTGTGATATCGATGGGGACGCTCATCGACGTACCTACACATTTTGTCGATTTCGCGATGGGTAGTGGCTAACCCAAGAACCACCTTGCCGTCATTTCCACAAACTCTTTCTACCAATTTTCATGTCACTTCGATCCTGTACGGTTTTCGCAATCTGTCAAATGGGGAGCGATATGTCTTTGTTGAAAGGGGAAGGTCAGTTTCCAATCCATTTTATTCAGCACTGGCTATGGCGATGACAGCTTTCACTGTTTTTCGGATCCTTTCATCGACCCATTCCTGTCAGGTGAAACTGGATTGCTTTTGCACGTAAGATGCATTCCACAACAAAATTCGCAATGACAGTTCTGAGCAAGTGTGTCTGTCTGTCTGTCTGTCAGTCTGTCTGTCTGTCCGTCTGTCTGTGTGTGTGGACCATCTGAAAAGATGTAAAAAAACTTCTATCCGTTGACTTCGTTGCACTACTTGTTTGTTTTTTGACTCTTCATGATTTATTTTCCAATTTCAATTTTTCACGCAGGGCACAGAAGGCCCATAGAGCTGTGCCCAACGAAGCTCTCTATGGTGTCCTTAGGATATCCAGGCTGATCACCTGGACGTACCTGCATCCAATTTTCAACAGTTTTGATGTCACTTTTCCGAAATGGCGACCGGCCAAGCCAAGAACCGGCATGTCGAATGTCAAACCAAAATTTGATTTTGCCTGTACGGTTTTCGCAATCTGATTTACTGCTGACTTCGTCAGATGGAACAGTTGCTTATAGCAAGGACGTAGAAAGAATTCTTCTCCACTGTTTCTCACGCCTGGTCATTCACTATTTGCTGTCAGGTTTAACTGAAGTGCTTTTGCACGTACGATGCATTCCACATCAGTAATTCGATAAGATGTTTCTGAGCAAGTGTGTCACTCATGCCGATTTCCGACAAGGTGGTATGAGCCCTTCGGGGAAAGCCTTTCTAGGCTAACAATTGACAGTAAAACGATCTCTGAATTTACACTTTTGAATTAGCAATTCGTTTAAGTAAAGTGAACTGCTGGCCCTTTTCCTGGTTTCACTTGTCGATGTCGTTGTGTTGAAACGATGCCCGCTGTGCCTGGGAATCACCTTTTACTTGAACTTCAAGGGGTGGTAGACTGCAGCCGCGTCAACACTCTTTCTGTTATCTCAAGAGACTGACCGCAGCCCTTTTCACATGAAACTCCAGGCAAGAGGACATGCTTTACAGGTGTGGTCACTTCCTTTTTTGGTTGTTTGGTGAGGTTCAATTGTGCACGTAATTCAGGGGTTGAACACGTAAGCTGTCCAGAGGGTTGCGACTTGATCTCTGGCCATTGAGCCTAACGAGGGGAACACTGCACGTCTTTGTGGATGCATCCTGTTTGAACTAGGTTGTTTTTCAATCCAATCGCCTGACAGTGCGGCCATGTTTCCTGGACGTTTTCCCAACGTCCCTGATACGATGTGGAACTTTGGATGGAATCCACAAGCGATGGGACTTCCAGGTCAATTTTGTGGCGGTGATCTGATGAACCAACAGTCACAAGCTCAGTCTCAAGCTCAGACTCAGGCACAACTTGCGGCTCTCAGGGAGCCAAACTCCATCCTGAATCAACAACTTGCGTCACAAGCTCAATCCCATATTCAGCATCTCCAACAGCTTCTTCCATTCCATCAATCCACATTCCACCCACATCCACCTCAGTCCACACCATCAGTGCCAGAACCACCAACACCGGTGGCATCTCAATCCACACCACCTGGACCCAGTGTATCCTTTAATGCAGAAGAGATGATGCAACAGATGAAGAACACGGTCGAATCCAGTATGCAAGCTTTTGTGGACAAGAACCAAGAGCGCAACATGAGCCATCCTCCAACTCCAACTCCAGCCCAACCACCAATTCAAGCCTCTCCACCTATTT